ATCTCACTTGTAAAATGTTAAAAAAAGGCAAAATTAAATAATACATAGGTAGCAAATTTTTTAAAAAGCAAAGGAATGGTTAACATAAAATTCAAAACAACGGTTACATCTGGTAGAGTGGGCATGTGACCAGGGAGGGGGACTCTGGTGGCTTCTTAACATTCTGTTAAGGGAGTTTTGGGGCAAATTGGAGGTCATTTTATAATTATTCTTTAGATGATAATAAGCACTTACACACTTATGCATTTATTATTTAAAACAAAAATCGCTTAAATGCTCCCTGCATCTGTATTAAATGTGTATCTGCACTTGCAGAGGGAGAACTCAGATTCATTGCTTTCTCCTGTGTTGAATCACAACACACTCTGATTTGACTGGCAAGTGACTAGATGAACTCTCACGACTTTGAAGAAAATAGGTGGGTACTGGAAAGCTTTGATTTCACTGGAAATAAATCCGAAAAAGCAAATTTCTGATGTAAGATGAAATGTGATATAATTAATTTAGCAGACAGCAACTATTATATGCCAGGCTCCGTGCCTGTAATTGTAAAGATCTTACAGCACTTGGGTCTATGTCTTCATTTTTATACTTCTGGGCCATGTTCACTATTCATCAGCACTCTACCAGGGGTGTCCAACCCTCGGCCCGCGGGCCACATGCAGCCCAGGGTGGCTATGAACGTGGACCAACACAAAATCATAAATTTACTTTAAACATTATGAGATATTTTTTGTTTTCAGTAGTGTTTGTGTACTTAATGTGTGGTCCAAAGATGCCAGAAGGTTGGACACCCCTGCCTAGATAATGAAATGCTCACCGGTTACACTGTTGCACCACCTCTTCAACCCTTTCGACCCTCTAAGAAAGATGTAAAATATCCTGTAACGAGTGGGTGGGACCATGTCCAGAAACTTGGGACAGGTTTTCATAGTGTTTACTTAAAAGCCAACAACATACCCAAATAGAACTTGTAACTCAGAAACATCAACAATTAGTCTCTTTTACTCTTATTTCTTGAAAAGTATGCTAATTTTATATATGCAGAGTAATTAAACTGGTTGATTGTAAAGACATTAAAAACAGCATATGTAATATGGTTTAGTTATTCCAGGAAGTACTATTTTAAAATTACTTGCAAGTGTTAGAGTCAAAATGGGATAGCAAGTCATAATTTAAACTTTCTATAATTTCATAAATATACACCTATGTTTAAACATTTTTTGTAAACATATAACTTTATTTTTAAACTTTTCCTAATAAATTCAACAATACTTAATAGGGGCTTATTATTAAAAAAATAATGAATTTATCCCTCCCCTCCTCTTCCTGTTGGGGTGGAGGGTTCAGCCGGATGACCAGGGCCTGGGATTCAAACAGCACGGTCAGGATCGACAGTGCTGGGGGCAATGATGCAGCTGGCCTTGAATTCATTGGGGTTCCAGAGGGCTTATACGGGGTTGGTGTGGTCAGGACAAGAGCAGCAGCAGTTGAGGGCTTACTTGGCATCGCTGGATCTAGGTGGCACTGTTGGGAGGCTGCAACATAAAGGAAAAGTAAGCAAGTAATATATTTAGAATTATGGGAGCCAGGATCCCCACCATGAGAGAAAGGAGTCACAAATATGTAAAGACTAGATTAAACCCTAAACTACTGAACTAGCATTGAAGGTATCAATGTGAACTCCCGGTTTTCAGTGTATATGTACACACGGAAATATGTGTATGTGTATGTCTGTGTTTATACACACGTATTTCTTTGACCTGTCCACCAACAGGCCTTAAAACCAATGGCTTTCCAGTAGCAATGAGCACTTCTTAGCTCTTGTTTTCCATTTTCTCTTGTTCTTTTAAAGCAGGGGTGTCAAACTCATTTTCACTGGGGGCCATATGAGCCTCATGGTTGCCTTCAAAGGGCTGAATGTAGAGCTTCTTGCCCCTAGTTAAGAAGTAGTTACATTTATACAGTCCTAAAATTACATTTGGCCCTTTGAAGGCAACCACGAGGCCGATGTGGTCCCTGGTGAAAATGAGTTTGACCCTCTTGTTTTTTTTTTAAGATTTTATGTATTTGTTTTTAGAGAGAGGGGAAAGGAGGAAGAGAGGGAGAGAAACATCAATGTGTGGTTGCCTTTCACATGCCCCCCACTGGGCACCTGGCTGCAACCCAGACATGTGCCCTGACTGGGAATCAAGCATGTAACCCTTTGGTTCACAGGCCCGTGCTCAATCCACTGACCTACGCCAGCCAGGGCAACACCCCTGTTTTAAAGGAACTAGGGTTCCTTGGAAAAATGGCTAGGACAGGGAAAAGTACAAGATAAGCTTGGAATATGTTCCTGTGTCAAAAAATCAGAAGAGCTCAAAAAGTTAAAAACACATAGAAGTGAGCCTGAAGAGATTCCCACAGACCAAATCTGACAAAAGTTCAGTATCAAAATAAATGACAGTGATATAACTTACTCAATAAAGCAGAAATCCATGAGTCCATACTCAATACAAATGAATAAACAAATGAACAAATGGAGAAGGGACTGCTCTTACAGTAGAGTATCAATCAAATCATAAACAACCATTGACAACTGAATAGTAATAATTGATTCAAACAAGAAGTGCTAACAGACTCATACTAACTGGTGACAATTTGATCAGGAGGACATTTATGTAGTCTCAAAGAATCTCCTCACGAACTTCTTTTTGTTACCTTTACCACAGAGAAACATGGTAAGTACCATCCTAACCAAGTGACCAAAGTTAATCCGATCAGGGATGGGCCAGCCTGATATTGTGTACCTCATGGTATGATACAGTGAGAACATAGCATCATTTCTGTGGTATTTTCTGACAAAAACGTGTGTCCTGAGTCTAATCATGAGGAAACATTAGATAAACCCAAGCTGAGGGACATTCTATATAATACCCAGCCTATACACAAGTTTCAAGGTCATGAAAGAAAAGACTAAAAAAACTGTTCCAGACTGAGGGAGACGAGAGAGGGGACAGCTGAATGCACGGTGTGCCCCTGGACCGGGATGCGGGCACAGAGACCACCAGCAGGACAGGCAGTGAATCTGAGTGTGGTCTGTGTGGGTTAGACGTCACATGCCGATGCCGACCTCTGTAACGGTCACACGATGGTACGGTCGTGCAGGAGTCCTCTTGTTTCAAGGAAATCTGACTCAAAGTATCTAGGGGTAATGGGGCATCACGTCTGCAACTTACTTTCAAATGGCTGGAAAGTTGCATTGGACGGGGCTACACTGACATTTGTAAATAAATGTAAGCTAAATGAACATCTTTACAATGTTGAGTCTTCCAGTCCCTGTACATCATGAAACATTCTATTTATTTAAGATCTCCTTAAATGATTCTTGATACGGTCTAAAATTTTCTCCATGAAGATCTTGTATATATGTTAGATTATCAGGTATGTCAAATTTTTTGTGCCATTGTTTAAGAGATCTAAAAGCTTTCATTTTGTTAGTTGGTGATATACAGAAATATAATTGGCTGTTGCATATTTATTGTGAATGTAGCAACTTTGTTAAACTTTCGATTACTGTAACTGCAGTTACTGAATTATTGACATTTATAATCATACCAACACATCAAAACAATTTCCTGCCTCTGGGGAAGAAAAACCCAGAGAATTATGTTGATTGTAACTTGTCAGAAAAATACACACTGGAATGTTACTTGCAATGGGGTAGTATAACCACAATACCATTTTTAAATTAAATCACCCAAGAAAGCGAGGTATGATTCTATTTGCTTCTGAGACCCCTAGGCAACAAGTCTCTCACAGAGATCCTATCTTCTCTGTATCAAAAAAAAAACACATCACCTAAGGTGCATTCAAAGTAATTATTAACACTCATAACTTCTAATTCTCAGCACGTAAAACACACGTATCTGGGGAAGTTATTATCAACCCCTTCACAGATGACTTCTTGGAAACTTGAACCATATGCTCTCTACAAAGCTCTCTGGTGGTCTGGCAGCTCTGAAGGGACTCCCCACCACTGCCCTTTCCTCTTGCTCACGTTCTTTCCATGTGCCACAGAACAGCTCCCTGTGAAGGAGTGCCCCCGAGGTACTGGGCGTCAGGGCACGGAGCACACTGTGGGTTCTCTAGAGCAGCAACACGTTCTCAGGAGATGCTTGTTTAATGCCCCAGGAAACTAAAAAGTGTCTACAGATGAACAGCTTAAGCTGGACAAATTGTCAGAGAACCCCAGCGGCAGAAAACTCCCCACAGTGGAACTCTCGCTGTGAGGTGAGCAGTGAGGGGAAACAAACAGGCAAGCTGATTACATATTCTTTCATTGGGTTGTCTCAATACAGTAAAAAGAAAACTGAAGGAGTTTAGAAGTACATTTTCTAAGTTTCAGTATGGGATGTTCTGGAGATGGAGAGCAGTCACGGTTACAAAATAATGTGAATGTACTTAATGCCACCAAAGGTAAATCTTTTATTGTTAAACATTACCTGATATTATTACTTAGTAATTGTGCAGCCATTAAGGGTACTAACCATCGAACTCTGAGCCCTGTGTCTGGGTCCTGACCCCAACTGTCGCACCGGTGGAACCCATGGCACACCATTTAACTAAGCCTCAGCTTCCTTGTCAATAACACGGGAATAATAAAATATGGCCCTTCCCATTACAGGCTGCTGTCAACTTGAAATGATTTATGTAAGAACTTAGTAGAGTTCATGGCACAAAGAGAAGGCTCAATAACTGTCGGCTCTTATTTCCTTTTTAGGTTTTTGTAGCCATACAATTCTTTTATATTTTGTACAATGAAGACTAAAAACAAGGCCCCGACACTAAAGGGTTTGTTACATAAAACTATATAGAAACTTCCCATAAAATACACTCCATGTTGTACTAAGTCAAGGGATATATGAGCCCAAATGCCGATCACTAAGCCAATGGTTAATAAACCTTCAACTTTCATCCCCTAAGAGGCAGAGTTCAAAGAAGCCACAAACATGAGATAATTTAACAGAGTAACATATATTTTATCAAGTATAATATCGTCATACAAAAGCATTTACTACAAATAGAATTCACACATACAAAAAGGCTATTTTTTCTCCCTTTTATATCCTATTTTAGGCAAAATGATGAAACCCAGAAAACAAAAGAATTGCACTAGTTCTAAAAACTGGGAAATTTATACATGAAATACATCCAATCATCTATACCTGCTCTCGAATTCCAAACAATGAGGCTTACTGAACTATACTCAGAGTCAACTTAAATAATCTTTGCACGATTCATATGAAACATACATTGTCAATGGTTAAAGTCCAGGTAGAAAAAGTACACAAAATTATTCATAAGTAAAAACATTTCATACAAAAAAATATTTTTTTAAACCTCGACAATATGAAGAGGAAATGCATTAAATTTTAAAATATTTCTTGGACCATTATATAAAATACCAAAACATTCAGAACTGTTGAACAACAAAAGTTTATGTAGAACAAAGCCAAAACATAAAAAACTATTAAACGTATTAAAACCATCTAAAGCCAAATAAGACATAACTGCACTATGTAATTCACAAACAGGTTTAAGTGCATTTTCTCTGTACAATTCAACTGACTACCACTTGTAAATCTGGCAATTAATTGGAATGCAATTAAACACAGATTTGCAAGCTTTTTGGCCATTTTGTAAATATAAAAAAAAAAACCTTGACAACTGAAAAATAAAAAGTTGCATACATACCGTAAAAAACACAATGGTCAAAGACACACTATAAAATTGTGTTTAAAAAAATCATACTAAACAAAGATCTTTCAGGCACTTGCATTCAGAAACATTCCTTTTATAAATAAGCACATAGTTTTATTTCAAAAAAATAAAGATGATTTTTCCCAATGGCAGCTATTAGTTGAGAACTACATCATATATTAGGGATGCATTTAAATGGACCATTTTATGGAGAAAATTTCAACTAAACTTTAAAAAATATGAGTTTGCCTACTTATTCACAACTTCAAAAATACACATAATTCCAGTGAGACACAGACGCGACCCTATCACAACATTCTACCGACCGTTCAATACGACCGACATAGGATAACACAATACAAAGACGAAAAGCAAAATCCACGATTTGGCAATCCTATACAAAAGGGGCCCTGTCAAAATTCTTTCACAAAACAAACACAATACCACAAAACAAAACAACTTAAGAAGAGAAGCTGAATTCCGACAACCCTACACAAACTGTGGGGCTTCATCTTCCAGGTCTTCAAACTGTTGCATTCGCTTTAGCCTTGGTCTCTGACACGTTGGGTGCACATCAGGCAAGTCACGCTCCTCAGAGTTCTCCTTAGGTTTACTTGTGGGCTGCAAGGGACAAGCAGCTGGTGTGTTCTCTGAGTCTGAAACTGATTTCAGCACATGCTCCTGAAAAGTGTGAGCTGTGCCAGGAGGCACTGTTGGGGAGGATGCCACAGGTTTCTCCTCAGCCCCTCTCACACTACCAGCGGGAGCACGTGGTTTATAAAACGTTGTCCAGTGCTGGGGCTGCAGTGTTCTGGGTGCTCTGACAGGGGCAGCAGGGCAGGAGTCAGAGGACCGTCCCTCCGACACCTGTCTTGCTGACCTGACTGGTTCTGGGCATGGCTTACTGGGCTGGGTGGCACTGACCAGATGGTCCCCACCAATCCTGATGCTCGTCGTCACTCCTCCTTCCTGGAGCGCATTGGGCGCGATCAGTGCAGTCTTTGCATTTAGGCCATTTTGTTCATACTGTTTCTCCCCAGTGTTTTGTGCAGTTTGCTGGTCAAAGCCATCAAATTTGCAACAAATAGTAGGGGTATTAACTCCTTCAAAGGCAGGATTCTTGCACAATTTGTCTGAGTTTACATTTCCCATATATCTGCCATTTCTCTCATGAGGAGGGTTTGCAAGAAGCAGCAGTCTATCGACAGGCAAACTTACAGGTCTACTCTTGGTCCTCGGAGCACACCTCTCAACAGCACTGTTGGTTTCCCTGTCGGGTTTCAGAGTAAATGGCTTGGAGGTTTTACAAACATCTTCCATCTTTCGTGACGCTGATTCAAGTCTCTGGTCTGCAAGCAAACGCACTTTGTTGTCTGAAAAAGGAACAGATTTATTTGAACATTAAACTTCCTGGCACCTGCTTAACAAGAATCTGGGTGAGTTACAACAAACATGCTCTCAAAACAATAATGGTCTTAATATTTTTCCAAGTTATTCTCAGTTATCTATGCAGAGGAGTTAAGATTTTATTTATTTATTTTTAGAGAGGGAAGGGAGGGAGAAAGAGAGAGAGAGAGACAAACATCAATGTACGGTTGCTGGGGGCCATGGCCTGCAACCCAGGCATGTACCCTGACTGGGAATCGAACCTATGACACTTTGGTTCGCAGCCCGCGCTCAATCCACTGAGCTATGCCAGCCAGGGCTGTAGAGGAGTTTTTAAAAAATTTTTCTATGCACGATTTTAGAGTGAGAAAAAAGGAGAGAGAGAAAGCATCAATTTGTTGTTATACTTATTTGTGCATTGGTTGACTCTTATATGTGCCCTGACCAAGGATCGAACCCACAACCCTGGCATATCAGGACAACACTCCAACTGAGCTACCTGGTCAGGGCTATGCAGAGGAATTTAAAGGTGGACGCTGAATGAAAATGTTAGAATTTTATATTTACTGAAATAAATATAATAAATGGCTACAAAATTCACTGCAGGTTAGGTAAAACAAAAACAAAACACTTGCTGAAGTTGTGTGCTGTGCATGAACGAACAAGTAATCCTGGGTCAAAGGGCTGTCACGATTTCAACAGAGAGACATTTGTAAATTCACCTCAGAAAAGTTATACCAATTTACAGGCCAGCCAAACACAGGTGTGCCCTTGAATCCCAATGCTTTTGCCAACTCCCTACATTGCTTTATAGTCACACTCAACCCGCAGTGAGAGCACATTATATGAAATGCTTTAGTGGCTTTCAACCTGGTCACCAAACAAATGACTATACCATTCATCCCGTCCAACTAAGGTTTAATAGTTTCACTGTAAGGGAAACTATTGCCATTCACTCCATTTAGTGTTTACTCCTAGACTGACTTTCTTTCTCTTTCCTATCAAATTTGCACCCATGGCCTGAGTCTTCTCAAACTAGAACCCTGAATTCCATTAAGCCCTGTTCCTTTTTGCTATGTCTCCCTTAAAAATTTTTGATTTCTGGAAGATTTCAGCCCTTTGCCTAATGTTCTTCTTTTGGGCAGCAGTCTACTGGCAGGCGCCCATCAGAATCCGTCTGCTGTCATCTCATCTGCCCTTCCTCCTCAGGTGACACCACCGATCTCTCCTCCCTGGGCTTCCAAAGCAACACCCAGTTAGTTATTTTCCACACCCACACTTACAGCCACTCTAGGGGGCCCGACTCATTGCGTTTGGGCTGGAGACATTAACCAAAGTATATTCCTAAGTTCGGAGGGAAGCACTCACAGCCAAAAGGATAAGAGTGCATATTCGGCAGCCCGGTTACTAGGTTTAGCTCAGCTTCACCACGTCTGCGCTGGGCAAGGCGATCTCACTGTTGCCCAGGGTCTCCATTTGTCAAAAGAGAATCATAACTGGATCCATATTGCTGTATGGCTTAATGATCTAATCATGAAGAGTGCTCAGAATTATTTGGTATACAATAGGCACTCGCAAAGGACATTATTATAACTATTCTAATTGGGAGCCCTAGATCATAGGATAGTGAAATAAGCACAAACATAGGTTCAACTGCAGACTGCGCTATTCATTAGGGGCGTGGCTTTTGGCATGATTTCACCTCCCTCACACTATGGCTGAATGGGACAATACTACCTACTTCATAGCACTATTATGAAGATTAAATCAGATAAATGAAATCGAAACAATAAGCACAGTGCTTAGCGGAGAGCAGGCAGGTACTTAATGAATGTTAGCTCCCCTACCTTCTAGACCCGGGCAGGCTATGTCACAGCTGTTTGATTATACATCAAATTTAACACATATAGCTGAAATTTTAAAAAGTGGAATTTAGCTCTAGTACTGTATAGCATTACAGTAATAAATGGAAGACTTTCTACCAGCTTGACAGTTGCCAATCATCGCAACTAAAATGATCAGTGAATAAAATGACTGCAGTCAAGGAACAAGGAAATAAAGAGATACATACACATACATGTACTTAATGTGTTAAAGGCAGGTGACAGGTAAAGCATTTAAAAAAATTTAGAAGTTTTAGGAGTCTACATTTTTTGGCTTTTAATCATGGTTCACTGACACAGTTTTCAGTGAGCAAACAAGTATTTCACATGACCACTCACCAACGAGACATGCATCACATTTTTCTGATGCATTCTGCTTTCGTTCTGATTCCTCAAATGATGCAACTGGTTCAAGACTTTTGTTTTCATTGTCTGCAGTATGGATATCCTGTTGACGGGAGAGAAGTTTTAAACTTGAAGAAGCAAAACATACTTCACAATAAACAGTTCAAAGAGTTTTAACTTAACATAAACATTACAAAGTTCCAACACAATTCCATAAGGACAAAACTCACTTCCTTTGAAGAGAAAAAGAGTGACTTCATGAAATGTTCTGGGTCTCTTTCTTCTGGTGATAACAGAGGCTTCAGATGGCAGCCCTGATCCACCTGAGGTGCAACACCGCCTGTACTACACGTAGCTACTTCTTGCGGCTGTAGGGACCCATCAAAGATCTTCTGGGAATACGTAATGAGGAACTCCACCAGCCGTGCCTGGTTTGAGTACTCAGCAAGAGAGGAAATGGTGACAGGAGCAGTCGTGGGCCTTGGCCTAATGAGACTTGGTCCAAATATCACCCCCAAGTTTTTGGAGTTCATCTTGTTTTCTTCCGAATGATCAACGACTCTGCAGAGTAGAACACATTAAGCCGTATGAGACTTGCCTGTTAGATTTCTTTGATGGTAGTTAACTATGGGTAGGGAAGGGTGCAAAAAAATGGGATATAGAAGTCTAAGAAAAAAATGTATTTATTTGATTAAATATTGACCACATACCAAGTTGAGTTTTATAAAACCAGGATATAATTTAAGTAAGTAAGTAGAAAATTCTAGAAGGAACTTCTAGAGTTTTACCAGTGGAGATTAAAAAAAAAACCCAAAAACCAAAAACCAAAAAAACCACCCCCAAAACTTCAGGTCTTTAGGCTGGAAACTCATATATTGTTGTCAAATTCTCTCTCACTGCCCATAGCTAGTCTTCAAGCCTAGCTGACTGCACTTCCTAAGGATCTCTCTGTTCTACCGCCACTCCCACTGCGGCGGCCTTACCTCAAGCTCTCATCACCTTTCATTCTTATGACTATTCAAGGAATGTGAATTGCAGCCAAGGCCTTTCCTCCAAACCATTCTCCATACTGCCGCCTAAAAGATCTAACAGGCAAATCTAAGCACATGAAATTCCTGGCTCAAGATTCTTTAGTAGGTACAGAAGGAAGACAGCCAAGTCATCTGCCAGGTATGGAAGATTTTCTTTACCAGGCCTCTACCTAGCTCACTCCTGCTACTGCTTGTTATAGCCGAGCCTAACCAAATTATTCTTCCCAAATGCAAGATGGTTTCTTATGTCTCTGTGTCTGTTACCCTCTGCCAGGGATGCTCTTCCACACATTCTCTGTTGCTGAACCACTATTTAGTTCTTCAAATCTGGCTCAGGGCATCCTCCTCTGATCCGTGACCCTCCCTCCCCTGTCTGCCTCTGCATGCTGTGCATAGCTCCATTAGAACACGAATGATGCTGCTCTGCACTTGTCGGCAGGTCTGGCCACCAAACTGACAAGCAGAAGAGATGTCAGACACTGTATGTTTTCATTCTTGCTTTCCTGTGCCGTCTGGCACGTAGGAGGCACCCGAGGGAAAGCTGTTGGCTGTTTGAATACATTCAGTATCTTCCTCTCCCTAACACATATCAGAAATGAAATGCTCATTTAAAAATAATAGCACAACAATGTGAATGCACTTAATACTAAGCTGTATATTTGAAAATGACTAAGGCCCTGGCTGGTATGGCTCAGTGGATTGGGCATTGGCCTGTGAACCAAAAGGTCGCTGGTTCGATTCCTAGTCAGGGCACATGCCTGGGTTGTGGGCCAGGTCCCCAGTGGGGGGTGCACAAGAGGCAACCACACACTGATGTTCTCTCCCTTTCTCCTTTCCTTCCCCTCTCTCTAAAAATAAATAAATAAAATCTTTAAAAATTTTTTTAAAATAAAAATGACTAAGATGGTAAATTTGTTATGTGTATTTTACAATTAAACAAACAAACAAAAATTGATCAATTATCCATCTACTAATGGATGCTCTTCTTATACAAAGTTCTTACCGCTTAAGATGCATTATGAGATAGTAAAGGCTATTAAAATTTGATGCTGGCAATTGTCTTAGAAGGTCCTTGCTCTTTAGAAGAATTCGATTTATTTCTATACATGTACTTGGCCATTTTTTGTCTTCAAGGCCATCCTTTTTTGTCTCTTGTTCTTCATTTACATGTTGGATCTCTTTCGCAAGGTCTATAAATTCCGTGTACAATCGGAATAAAATAAATGGTTCTGGGAGCTAAAGAAATAAAGTTACATTAGAAATATTATTCTGTCCTTTCCCCTCCCCATTGATAATCTGTAAGTAGCTACTGAATGGTTTAGCATGTACCTTTAGATTAACAAGACTTAAGGTCAACATGTACCTTTAGAAATGTACATATATTTGCTACAGATGTGGTCTATAAAGTGATATCTGACACAATCACCATAAATCACATCTTTATTTAAAATGAGTGTCCTGGCTGGTGTGTTGCAGTGGAATGAACACCAGCCTCTGAACTGAAAGGCTGCAGGTTTGATTCCCAGTCAGGGCACATACCTGGGTTGTGGGCCAGGTCCCCAGTTGGGGGCATGTGAGAGCCAACCGATCAATGTTTCCCTCACACATTGAAGGTTCTCTCCCTTTCTTTCTCTCACCCTCCCCAAAAGTAAATACATACAATATTTAAAAGTAAATAGATAAATAAAAATAAAAAATGAGTTAACTGATAATCAGTAAAACTCTAAATTTTACATTCATTATTGCCCCAAAGTTACCATAATCTTCAATTGTTTACAGAAACAAATCCAGAATGATACATGAAACAAGTCCAATTAATTAGAAAAATCTTATATTCTGTTTTATTGGAATGGGGGAGACAAGGACCCCCATAGGGTTCTTGTCTTTTTCTTAAGTCAGATAGGAGATTAGCATAAGATAATATGACTTACAAGAAAGAAACTGTCAATGTTTTATTTATCTAATTTTTAAATACAACTTGCATTACCATAAGTAGGTTAACAGAACTATCAATGAGTATGCCACCTAGCTCTGTCTACTGGCATAATTTACTGCAAAATTTCCACTGCTCAGTGATGGAGAATACAGTGTAGCTCTGTCAGGCTGATATATTATACTATCTGTGGTGAGGTAGGCACCTGCTCATCCCATTTCCCTTGCTGGTCCCAAGGAGAGGACACTTTGAGATTAATTTCTACCTCCACCACTGTGTAATCTAAAGAGGGTAACTTAGTCTCTTGGAGTTTCAGATTCCCCACATGGTATATAAGTAAAATGAAAGCTACTCTCTAATACTGTAAATTTGAGTATGGCTTCCCACACCAAAATCTTGGTCACGTAGTATTCCTGAGACAGGATGAGAGCTGATAGTATTGGGCCACATTCATTTCCTTTCCCTGACTGGCTAGAAGAGATAAAGGATGATTGACTGAAATTTACAGTCATTCAAAGGTAATTTGTTTCCATTTTTCAGCTAAGAATCCTACAAAATATCATTATAGAGATACCACTAATTTCCTGGGCTAACAAAGCAGGTCCAACATTTATAGCTAAAGAGCAGATAACAAGTGCTGAGAAAGTTGGAATTCCAACTGAAACCCAACATGGTTAACAGAATCCTAAGCAGACTTGACAACAGCATGAGGTCCTCTAATTCTGAAGGAAGGTGAGCTATCCAAGAGGCATTTGCTCTCTAGATCCCTGTTTCTGTTCCATGTTCCTGAGCAACCTTTTGCTCAGAAGCCCAGACTGCTTCTCTGCGCAGTGTAAAACTGAGGGTTCTCTGGATGGGCAATGTGAAGCACAAGAGACAAGTGAGCATCTATCTAAAGATAGAAATTTAGTAGCTGTATGCATACTGAATGCAGAGATCCTAGAGCTTCCTTACCCTGCTTGGCTCTCAAAGCCTGGCACCACACCTCTAGGCAGTAAAAGACCCTTCTCTGGGCTACTGATCAGCCTAAGAACAGACCTAGAGATGCAGACAACTGGTGTTTCCCAAATAGCCCGCCTACATCATATCCTAGTAAAGCTCAAATCTTCAAATCCTTCTTATATCCAAAGGCCTTTTAAGACATTTCAATTCCCAACTCTTTCATTTTAAGCAGACAACCAAGGAAGACAAATCAAAACAGGAAAAAAACAACTTGAAGGTCTGAAACTATACTGTCTAAATGGGGGCCACTAGCTGCACAGGGCTACTGAGCACTGGGAATGTGGCCAGTCCAAACTGACATGCGCTTCGAATGAAAAACACACACCACATTTTAAAGACTCTATAACAATAACAACAAAAAGTAAAATAGTTCATCAATAATTTTAAAAATATTGATTAGATGCACAGATATTTTCAATGTTAAATAAAATATTAAAATTAACTTCACCTGCTTTTTCTTTTTATGTGGCTACTAGAAAATTTAACACGATACATGGGGCACACGTTATATTTATACTAGATAGGGCTAGAGGCTAAGCAGAGGAAAAACACCCTTTTTAAAAAAGCTATGAATATCCTCCACTGGGTACGATACTGTATTCATTAAAAAAGAGAGAATGTCACAATAGAGAGAACCAGAGTTCTTAGAAATTTAAATGGGACCCCAGAAGAAATGAAATAGTTACAGTAGGGATAAAAGAAAAGCTTGGGAAATCTTAGAAAATGTTAAAAGAAAACAAAAACAGAGATAATGACCAGTAGAATAAAAGGAACTACAGAACCAGTTCAATTTATCAAGTATCCAAACAGAAGTTTCAGAAAGAAAACAGAGGGGAGAAAGTGAGCAATGAAAAGTTCCAAGAACTAAAGGACAAGTAACCAGAATGATGGAGCTCACAGAGTACCTGAAACAGGAAATATACCCACATCGAGGCTCTTCACTGCAAAATTTTAGAGTAGGGAGAAAAGAAGATTCTACAAGATTTCAGAGAGAAAAAATAGGCCACATACAATCAAGAATGAGAAGGATCTGAGGCTTCAAAGAGAACAAGAAAAATGCCTTTAAAATTCTGAGGAAAAGTAACTTCCAGCCTAGAATACTATAATCTTCCACGCTACCCACACTCTTCCATTCCCATCAAGAAAATCGAATAAAGACAGAGAAATAAGGTTTCAACTACTGGATTGGACAAAAAGTTCATTTATGTTTTTTCCGTAAGATGGCTCTAGTAGCGCTTAGTTGTCTTTAACGTCATTTGAAACAATTTTGTTAGATTGTATTGTGACAGCTGTGGAAACAGCATGTATTTAAAAAATTTATCAAAATTGGTGAATTTCTGTATAGCCATTTTGATACTGAATATGGAAGAAAAATACACATTTCAGCGTATTAGGCTTTATTATTTCAAGAAAGGTAAAATCGAAAAAAAAATTAGTGCAGTATATGGAGAAGGTACTGTGACTGACTGAATGTGTCAGTAGTGGTTTGCTAAGTTTCGGGCTGCAGAGTTCTCGCTGGACGATGTCCGCAGTCAGACCCGCTGAAGTTGACAGCGATAATGTCAATCGAGACATTGAGAACAACCAACGTTATACCACCTGGGAGACAGCTGGAATACTCAAAATATCCAAACCAATAAAGCTATTGGTGAAAATGAAAAAAATGTGTCTTTTATTTTATGGCAAAAACAAAATGGACTTTTTGGCCAACCCAGTATTTACTCTTACTCCACCTTGCTCAGGAGATGGACATGACTAAAACAGAAGAATAAACCAATTCAAAACAAGGCATTTCTCATCAACAAGAAGAGGGTGGAGAGGAAAGGTCCCAGGATAACAGCTGGAGAACAGAACACTGGAAAGCAACATGTTAAGGACTGTGGTCATTACACTCTCTTCAACTGTCTTTTTATTTTCACCAGGGGACTGAAGGCAGCTGGGCTTGGCCCAGGTCATTTTTAATACTTGGCTCATCATGACAATGCACTGATTGTTCCAACAACCCTTTCACAAGCTGCTCCTTGAAGCCATGAAGGCCATTTACTTCACCCCACTGAAGTGTTTTCTTTGGACCTAATTCTGTCAACTGCAGGTTCACAGTGAGCACAGAAAGAGGAACGAACACCCAGGAGTCCACCCCTGGACCATATTCTTGCTGAACTTCCAGTATCCAGCTTATAGGATAGCCTTGCCTGATGCCCCAAGTGTGGTGAACTTCCAGGACGCATTCATGACCTTGCCCAGTGACCTTCCAGAACAGCTATTTTACAAATACCAATGAACATAAAGCTGAACTATGACCAAGACACTGTTCTTACTGAATCAACCCTCATGTAACAATGTGAGAAATAGCCTTTTCTTATGCAGCCAGATTTTATGCTTTCTGCTCAGCTTTCTAAAACGTAATGATACACTGTTTAGGAACCCACAACAGGTACATTAAAAAAAAAAAGAGGGCGCTACTAACAGGGTTAGAAAAAGACTACTGGGGTGGGTTTACAGGCTGCAATGGAGAGAGGCACACAAAACCCCTTTAAAAATATAGTAATGTTCTATTTCCTTAAGGTGATAGAAAGTGTGTTTGTCTTTATAACTACTGGTCTATACACTTTACATATATTTATATACATTTTAATATACATTAAAAAGATATTAATATGGTTTCTATGTCAATGAAAATATGTGTGTAGAAAATATAATCAGCAAAATACAAATCATTTTTGCTTTTTTCTGGTTAACAGCAGGTTTTAAGGGTAAAACCTTTACCTGTCGAAGATACAACTTCAAGACGTCACAGATGTCATGCGAACTAAATTCTGAAATGTCTGCCAAGTGCATTCCATTTTCCAAAGCTTGACACAGTTTCTCAGTTTTTATTTTATTTCCACACACACGATAAATTCCCTTGAGAAGAACGGGGAAAAATATTGCAAAACTCTGCTTTAGTACAAACAGCTAAATGTGAACATCTAAATATATTTGATGTATCTACTTCAATTTTTATTAACATTTTAGAAAAAACTTGGGTGAAGTGAGGTAATATTTTCCAAACAAATCTAAATAAAATTGGTGACTTATTAAAAATTGAGAGCACTGTTTTCCTTTAAAGCCTCCTTATCATGAGAACAAATCACACAAGGATTTATGCTTAAAATTTTTGATTTTAAGAGTTACAACATACCTGTAGACACAAGGCTCTACTTTCAATCTCCGAGACACATATTTTGAGTATAAAAGGGACGCCATCTGGTTCTTTTTTCGCAACTTGTGTGAATTCTGCTCCAAATAAGTGTGTTTTCCCCGGAAGTTTTTGATGACCACAAATGATGACTAAATTTTCTAAACACTTTCGGTGACAAACAAGCAGACACTAAAAAAAAATAATAGTTTAAAACTGGTTCAATTATATTAAAACTATTCACAACTGGACAAACTAGATACAGAGTGGTAGGTAACAAAACAAAAATGCATTTTGAAGTGTCTGAAATACATTTAATAGCATTTAATAGCTGCTATTAAAGTGTCTGAAATACATCATTTAATACATTTAATAGCAATACATTTAATTCTGCGGTGTCTGAAATACATTTAATAGCAAAATGAAATATAAAGTTGTAGAAGGTACACTGTGGTTCAATTTATTTGCAAAAGATCCTAATCAGTAAAAGTAATAACAAAACAGGATAAAACAAAAAGTTTAAGGGGCTGATGTAATTCTAGAAAAATCTTACCTCTTCACATTCAACACCCTGGAAAACCACAATGCCTTCACAATCCCTGCATTTTGTGGGGGATCTCCATTTGCGAAACTTGTGAGTGAGAGCTGCCTTTGACATCAATGTTTTCTTGTATATCCCAGCTGAATTGGGTCCTTGTAATAGAAATAGATTATTACATAACTATCATAAGATGACAAACTTTCTTCCACAGTATGGTATATTTTGAAAAATCTTTAGACTTTGTAATCATTCTATATTACAAGAAGCTATTTTTTGAATCTGTAACATCAAAATAAAGATCTAATTTAGAAATCTCTTACAAGGCACACATTGATCAAACATTTTAATGTTTTAATTTTAATGTTTTAATTTTAATGATGAGTAAAAGTCACCACTCAACCAGTTAAGATACTTCTAAAACAGTACATCATGTTTTCAGAATCAGAAAGGTAACCCTACCAACTAATATGCCCTTTATTAAGCTGGGAAGGGTGTTACGTAGGTGGCATTACATTCTTAGAAAATGCCCCTTTTATAAAAGTTTCAAAGAAAATTAGCTGTATCAGGTTACTGTGTCATTAGCATTACCCACATTAAGGATAAAGCTATTCTTAGACATTATAAAATTATAGATAATACTAGCTAGTAATATATGAATATCCAGCTGGAGAGCAAATGTTCTGTATTATTTTAGGAAATGATGCCAATCTGGAAATTTCAAATATAAAAACTAATTTCTACGAGTCTAATTCAAGTCATTATGGTAACAGACTTCTCTTTTATATCCTTCAACATCCACAACTTTCCTTATCCTCTAGAAGTATACTTTCTTACTCTTCTTGCCTAGCTCCTTGCTGTTTCTTTTGAAGAAGATTTTTCAGAATTTCTCATGCATGGTAACCCTTTTAACAGTTAAGTCATTATGTTAGGTTTATGAAAGATAAAAATATCTATAGTCTATTTTATCACCATGCTAATACATTTTTATTTTATTTTTTTAAAAGATATTTCTTGATTTTAGAGAGAGAAGAAAGGAAAGAGAGAGGAAACATTGATTGGTTGCCTCCCATATGCACTCCGACCAGGGACTGAACCTGCAACTTAGGTATGTGCACTGACTGGGAATTGAACCCGCAACCTTCTGGTGTACAGGAAGATGCTCCAACCAACCTGAGCCACACTGGGCAGGGCTCCATGCTAATACATTTTAGATCTAGCAGTTTTTCTGTTTGTATTTGTATTTGTAGCATTTGATTAATATATTATCAACCCATACTTATACATAATTTATTGGGATATATTTGGTATACTTATCAATATAATGCTTTTTGTTTAATACATAGCAAAGTAATTCTTTGAATTATACTGTTTTCCTAATATCATGCAGTGCTACTGAATCAACTGGCTTAGTGAGAACTTGATTCAGGGACAATCAGAGAGTGTCATACCACCTTCTGAAGGGGAAGGCGGCTCTCTTTCGTCTAGATCATCTGCAGAAGACATGGTTCCACTGGATGGAGTTCGTGGAAGTTTTCGATTAAAGTCCCCTAAAAGAAAATTATGAATATAATTACTTGACCATGAACTGTAGAATTTTTTAAATAGGTAATAATAACATCTTTTGAATAATATAGTCATAAATTTTGTTAGCTACAATATAAAAAAACCTGCTTCCATTCTCAGACTTTGGATACAAGGAATTCTGGTATTTATTTTGTTCCTGGGAACAAAAGAAAATTGAACCCAAACCGACTTTTCCTGATAAATGTAAAATTGACGCTCACACATCCCAATGAGACCTTAATTGTCCATTTTTGATAGTCAGTGTTGGAGACTGTAAGCTCTACAAGCTAGTGAGTATTTTCCATTCACGTCTTATATTTAATATCTGACAGAGTAGCTGGTATAATAGCAAAGTTGTCATTCAATGCTTGTTGAATTAAGCTATAAACAAATGTGTATAACCTAAATCTTTGTAAAGTACACAAAAATCTTTAAATTCAGCCACACAACAGTAATGTTATTACACACCACATTTATGTTATTATCAGTAATTCAAGAGACTGGGAACCAGAAACAATGATCCCTAACAGGGAGCTGAGGGCACAGGATGCACTGTCAGCACAGGACACAGCCACGTGTCACAGAGCATGTGCAGAAGCAGCCCAATGAGGCAATGAGGGTTATTTGCTCACTGCTGATATGAAAAACAGAGTTATAGTTAAGAATTCACTTAAGTCTAAGGTTCAGAGTTAGACAGGGCTTTATAAATTATTTAAACCGACAATCTCTCCCCCAAAAGACTCCTCTGAACAATATGCTGAAAAGGTAGTCACTGAGTTTTCACTCTGAATGTGCCCCCAATGACTGAAATATCATGAGGTCACATGTTCCATTTTTAGAACCATTCTAATTGTAAAATGGCTTCCTTACATTATTGAGCAGAAACCTGCCTCTCTATAAATCCTAGTCTTGGGTCCCACTTCTCCCTAAAGGAGCGAGCAGACGTGCTCTACCTTTACACTTCCAATATTTAGGGACGGCTGTTGCATCCCCAAGCTTCCTCTTCCCCAGGCTAAGTATCCTCAGGTCTTCACCCATTTATCATGTGACCAGTTTCCACATTTTTGTCTAGTTTACCTGACATCTTATAGGATTCCAAATAATTTAGGGTTTTCTCTACAACTGCTCTTAATTTCTGGGGATTTCTAGAACCACATTGTTTTTATAAAGCTAATTACAAATATTCAGTTAAATATTTAGACTCACTTCTGCAGAGTGTCCCACAGAGCTAATTTTAAAGGAAGACAAAAAGTAAGCCTACAAATACCAGTGCTGCATGGAAATTATTTCTAATTTAAATTCAAGAGATTTATTTACATGGATTTCTACAACATGCAGAACACTAAAAAATAATGCTTTGGACTTTGTGGTTAAATCCTATAATGTTATCTCCCACAGTGCTAAGATCTTAGGAGGAAGGTATGTTGCCAGGAAGAACAGAACTGGAGCAGTCTTTGGTGGAGGAGTAGAGAAGAAAAAATTCTCCTAGGTTCAAGTGCTACCTTCTCCTGTTATCTGTATCACCTGTCATGTTGTATTCTCTTTGGAGCCATGATGGCAGGCTTCAAAAACACCTTCTCTGCCTCTCTACAGAGCATGAGATTACCAAAGTACCTTAAAGTACATTTGTAAATAATTAATAAGTCATCACAGGCACAAGGATTAGTATTAACTATACTGTTTGTTATCGCAATTAATTACAAAACAATCCAAAAGATGGATGTTATATTCAGAGAACAGAATGCCATCCAAAGTATATAGTATAAAATTAAAGATGGCTATTTGCATCAATATGAACCTCAAACAACAACAACAACAACAAAACACATAAAAGAAGTCACAAAATAGCATGATTCCATCCATGTATCATTCTGAAGAGGGCAAAGCTCAATTAGTATCAGGTACTAAAACATTTAAAATAGCTGAGGAATTACGAACAAAATTCAGGATGATGTTTTTTTCTGGTGGAATAGGGCACTGTTATCAAGGAGGTATACACAGGGACCTAGTGTACTAGAGTGTTCTGTTTCTTAGGCTGGGTGGTGAATACAGAATGGCTTATTATTTTTCTTTTAACTGTACATATACATGTACACACTGCTCTCTATGACATAATTCATTATAAAAATATGGTAGCTTTAAGTATTTTTATATTTTAATCTTTCATTGAATTTCCACTGCTAGACTTAAGTATTTCTATACCTGGGCTTATAGATTCTGAATCCAGAGATCTAGACTCGCTGCTTCCGCCAGTGCTCTCGGAGTCACTGAACATCCCAAATGTCCACGACCGTATGAAAGAAGAACCTTTAAGAAAAAAATATTTAAAGTTCAACTTGGCTTAGATGGCTCATAAGGCAAACTACTGACATTATATAAAATGAGACAAATCAAGTTTCTTTAACTGTCATCAAGCAATTTTAAGACAAGTACAGTGTATCACCTGTTATGTTATATTCTCTTAAAACTCTGAATAAGGCTTCATAAAGTTGTAGTTCAAGGGCTAATTTTTACATTCCAAGGCCACAACTCCTTTAATAACTACATTTAAACAATTTGATCTTTCATAAAATTAGTACCATCTTTAATGTGAAAACTACCTGTTACATCTGCACTGGTAGAGCACCTGTCCTCTTCTATCTTATTAGAGCTGTGAGGAACGGGCGCAACATCCTCTAAGGAGTCAGCAGGTCCATATCCATAAGTGTGGGAACTATTTGTTGATGGCTTAGTTACACTCCTAAGAAAAACCCAAATAAAGTTAATCACTGAGAAGAATGACTAATAATCAGACTATTTTATTCTATTTTTCAGAAAAATGTTAATTTAATAAATATAGAGTAGTTTAACTAAATATTAAGAACAAACCACATTATATGGTTCAACTTCCTAAAGGAGATATGAGTAAAACTTAATCATTTGTACTTGTTACAGCTGCAATATAGCAAAGAGTAGCAAAAGTAAAGTCAATTCAGGTTATGGTTAATCTTTTCTAGTATAATCTCTGTGGGAAATCTAGGTTAAATTTGTGTACTGAATATTCAAAATAGGTATGACTATGATTTGTCATTCTCCAAAGATTTGAGATTCTCCAAATCTCCAAGAACTGAGCTCTCAGTCAAATGGAAAGCATTTTTACTCTCAAGTGAGTTACACCTTAAATTAAAATTCAGAAAAAATTAAAGTTAACTCTGCCAAACCTGCCAATGTTAAAAAAAGATACTTTATACCACATAGAAACTTAGCAATAAGTATTTTCTCTTGAAAAAATTTTAGCTATACATTAATTCTCACCCATCAACTTTTTCTTCTTCGGTTGCATTTGTGGCCTTGACAAACTTACTATACTCTTGGCCTGGGTCATAGAGTTTGGCTTTATCACAGAAAGACTGTAAACTGTTTGCGAGGGAAGCAGCCTGTACTTGTTGCATCTGGAAGAGGTTAACTGTCACCTATGATCACAGAGACAAAACGTAAAATAATTTATGATATACAGAACACAATGTAAACACACATTTATTTCAAGTGACAGCACCAAGAGAAAGGCAACACAGTGAAGCACACAACACTGACTACTGTCATGAACACACTATTTGCCTGACATTGTGCAAGGTCTAGGTCAGAAGACTACAGTTTTGTTTTTTTTTAAAGATTTTATTTATTTATTTTTAGAGAGGGAAGGGAGGGAGAAAGAGAGAGAGAGAGAAACATCAATGTGTGGTTGCTGGGGGTTATGGCCTGTAACCCAGGCATGTGCCCTGACTGGGAATCGAACCTGCGACACTTTGGTTCGCAGCCTACGCTCAATCCACGGAGCTACGCCAGCCAGAGAAGACTAGAGTTTTAATCCAATATCTAGGAGCAATCATTTCCGGCAAAATGACTTTAAAGTGGAAAGTTAAAAAATATAACCCCGTGTCCCTACTGGTTCACAATTTTGGGAGAGAAATGTATTTTTGGGGATCCCAGCTCTGTACTGTCATGGTCTGACTGTGATCGTCTACACTCTTACGTGATTTCCACTTTCAACCCTATAAAAATAGAAATGCTTTATATGTATAATGTATCCTAGAGCACTCAATTTTTATAATTAGGTATTATCTTGAACTTTCTCTATTCAAAATATATTATATTCCATTGAGTATCTACAAATGTCTAAATATACTATCACTACTTCTAGTTATAACAACAACAATATAGCAGCTGATAAGGGCTTATAACATGCCAGATCTATTCTGAGAACTTTATATGAATTAACTAATTTAATGTTCACAAAAACCTAGGCTTTGGGTATATTATGGCAAACAGATGAAATTCCAGTCCTCACAGAGTTTGAGAGAGAGCATCAAAGACAGAGTAAATTAAATAAATAAGATAATTTCTGGTACTGAAAACTGTTAATACTATTATGTACGTTTGTCAAGTTATGGAATATGACCAGTTATGTGTTTATGGAAGGGCACTTTTAACATGGTAGGTTAGTGCAGGCCTTTCTGAGAAAATAGCATTTGAAGTGATACGAAAGTACGAATGAAAAGTTCCAGGGAGAAGACCAATCCAGACAAAAGACCCTAGGGCAAAAATGAGTGGGAAAGAGCCTCTCACACTCAAGAAATGGATGAAAGGGCAATGTGACTGACTGAAGCACATTGAAAGAGGTGGAGGCAGAAAGAAATGCAGCCATCTAAATCAAGTTAAGGAGCCTGGATTTAAGTACAAAGGGAAGATAGTGGAGGGTTCTACAGAGTATTAAGAGCTATAACATGATCTGACATACTTTTTTAAATTATTTTTTTATTTTTTATTTTAATTGTTGTTCAAGTAGTTTCCTGCCTTTTACCCCCATCCCAGGCCACCCCCCAGCCCTCCCCACCTCCCTCCCATTTCTACCCCCCCTTGCCCCTGTGTCCTTTATACTTGTTCCTATAAACTCTTGCCATTCTCCCCTGAAATTCCCTCCCCTCTGGTCACTGTCAGCCTGTTCTCTATTTCAGTGTCTTTGGCTATATTTTGCTTGTTTGTTTGTTTTGTTGATTAGGTTCCTGTTAAAGGTGAGATCACATGGTATTTGTCTTTCACTGCCTGGCTATTTTGCTTAACATAATGCTTTCCAGCTCCATCCATGCTGTTGCAAAGGGTAGGAGCTCCTTCTTTCTTTCTGCTGCATAGAATTCCATTGTGTAAATGTACCATAGTTGTTTTTTTTGATCCATTCATTTACTGATGGGCACCCTAGGTTGCTTCCAGCACTTGGCTATTGTAAATTGTGCTGCTGTGAACATTGGGGTGCATAGGTTCTTTTGGATTGGTGTTTCAGGGTTCTTAGGATATAGTCCCAGCAGTGGAATTGCTGGGTCAAAAGGCAGATCCATTTTTAGTTTTCGGAGGAAGTTCCATACTGTTTTCCATAGTGGTTGTTATCTGAAATACTTTTAAATGCCACTGTCTCCTGTGTGGGTAATGTGAACGAATGCCAGATTTCACTGGCTTAATGTTATTGCAAAGACTGTCATGTTTCCTCTTCATCGCTCTGGTTATACCAAATGATATGTTGAACTTATGATTAGCCCCTAAGTCTCTTCCAAGGTAGTCAGGAATTCCTCAAGGAGAACTGAGACTCATCACATTCTGCCAGGTGTATTTGAAAAGTACACCTAACAGAATAGCTTATTTGTGCTCTAACTTTTTTAAGGAACAAAGGATATTCAAACTGCAAATGGTAAAGCTTAAATCCAGAAACTAGCTACAATCAGGAAATTCAGTTAATGGTAGACTGAACTTATACTCTTGATTCTAAAGGTAACTGTACAGTTTTAATACTTTTAAAGAAATCTTATGAAATCTAGTTAAAGTCACTAAAAATTTGAAAAGCGGAATGAATAGACTGGCATAACCAATTCATCTGCTGAATGTCTCTGGGTATTTTTGATAGTAAAAGACTTAAGCAATAATATACTTGGATACAAGTAGCCCAATCTTAAAATCTTTTTCCTAAATTCTTCAGCCTTCTCCCACATTTAACAGAAATGCTAGAGTTCTGCCCCTTGGGGTAGGTCCTGCAGGACTTGTTGGGCATATAATTTTCCATAAATTCAAATAAATGGGAAAAGTTTCTCCCATGTAAATGAGCAAAAATCTAAAAATTAATTTTGCTCAATATAATTTTATATCTTATACTTATTTAAAAATGATAAAGCTTTCTAGAGTGTTCTTTAAAACAAAACAAAATAAAACACTCTTGTTCTAATTTTTCCCATTCAGAAAGCTTACTGATTTGATTAGGTCTTGAGTGACTGACTTCTCCTCCTTCCTCTCACTTAGAAATGTAATTATGATCTATATTCCACACACTTCAATACTTCATAACTCAAGACAATTCTGATTATTCAAGAATAATCCTTAATGCCCATGATATAACTATTTTGGTGGGACGTGAATCTCATTTGAGTATATTCCTTAAGATAGTGAATGAACCTCATTGTCTGTCTTTATTATCTCAAATGATTTTGTTTCCTCTGCAGTATATATGCAATGATATGTCCTAGAGTGAAAACACATGTTTTAAAAACAATCTGGAAGGTGTTATTGAAAAATAAGTCACCGAAAATCCCAAATTCTTTGATGAAGGAGAAGAAAATATAACTGAGAAAGTCAGGATTCTTACCTAGTAAATAATATCTGGAGTCAAGAATTGAAGTTGGAATGGTATCTGCTTGGATCTGAATGTGAATAATGCCAGTCAGAACAACTAAAACTGACTGATTAAATTGGTTCAAAAGAACTCTAGCTAATAAGAAATTTTACTCACAAATATGTATACAGAACCTCTATATAAACTGTCTCTACACATTACATATTACAGTGGTTTTCATGAGTTTGGGAGTTTGTTAAAATTTGAGGAACTTTAACTTCAAAGTCTACTTCATACACTTATAGACTGCTTTCCAATTTTTCAGATGTGTTAGTTCTCTCTCCCTATACACTAAACTCCTTGAGAGCAGGTATTTGTCTTAGATTTCTTTTATATAATTAGTAGGTATTAATAAATACATATATATTATATACAAAATTAGGTAATATATTGTTTACACAACATTAAATTAAAAGAAATCATAATTGTTGGATATCAAGTAGCATCACTTTTTAGGAGGAATGCAGACAAACAAGATTGTAGCTCGTGACAGTATTTAAAACCATGTTACATGATGAAAAGTCACAGATTTGGTGATATTTAATATGGAAAAAACAAGGAAGAAAGATAATAATTCTTTTTAAATATTTAAAGTATTGTCTTGCGGAAAAGGGATTGTATTAGTACAGTACCACTTGAAAGGTCCACAAGGGGACCTTTAAAAAAAATCAATATAACCATCCTACTAATTTTGGAGTTGCTCAAACCCAGACTAAATAATCATTCAGCAAGATAGCAGAGTATTTAAGAGCACAGGCTCTAAAGTCATTCAACCAGATTGTTCTTATCTGAGAGCTTTACAACTTATATGCTGGGTTACCTTGACCAAGTTATTTATAACTTCTCTAAACAACTGCTTCAAAAAATTTAATATGCAAAGGAACAATGTGGAGAATCTTGTTCAAAAAACAGATTCTGATTCTATTAGGGATATATACAGGGTTGGGTGAAAGTAGATTTACAGTTGTTTGTACAGAAAAGAATACAAAAATTAATATCGCTAGCTATCAGAGAGATACAAATTAAAACCACAATGAGATACACTGGTCAGAATGGGCATCATAAATAAAGCATAAAACAATAAGTATTGGAGAGGTTGTGGAGAAAAGGGACCCTAGTGCATTGTTGGAGGGACTGCAGACTGGTACAACTACTATGGAAAACAGTATGGAACTTCCTCCGAAAACTAAAAATGGATCTGCCTTTTGACCCAGCAATTCCACTGCTGGGACTATATCCTAAGAACCCTGAAACACCAATCCAAAAGAACCTATGCACCCCAATGTTCACAGCAGCACAATTTACAATAGCCAAGTGCTGGAAGCAACCTAGGGTGCCCATCAGTAAATGAATGGATCAAAAAAACAACTATGGTACATTTACACAATGGAATTCTATGCAGCAGAAAGAAAGAAGGAGCTCCTACCCTTTGCAACAGCATGGATGGAGCTGGAAAGCATTATGTTAAGCAAAATAGCCAGGCAGTGAAAGACAAATACCATGTGATCTCACCTTTAACAGGAACCTAATCAACAAAACAAACAAACAAGCAAAATATAGCCAAAGACACTGAAATAGAGAACAGGCTGACAGTGACCAGAGGGGAGGGAATTTCAGGGGAATTTCAGGGGAGAATGGGAAGGGTTTACAGGAACAAATATAAAGGACACATGGACAAAATCTACGGGGAGTGGAAATGAGAGGGAGGCAGGGAGGGAGGGCTGGGTGGGCTGGGATGGGAGTAAAGGACAGAAAAGTGTATTTGAACAATGATTAAAATAAAATTAGAAAAAAGAATACAATAATTAACCATTAATAATACAAGCATAAACTCTGTGTTTCATGTACACACAACTGTAAACCTACTTTTGCCCCACCATGTGTATCCCTACTGCAACCATTAAAAAAAACTATACAAAGAAATACAGTTAAAAACCCAACAGTTAAATTATTTTTTTAGAGATTTTATTTATTTATTTTTAGAGAGAAAGGAAAGGAAGGAGAAAGAGAGGGAGAGAAACACCAATGTGTGGTTGCCCTTTGTGTGCCCCTCAGTGGGGACCTGGCCCACAACCCAGTCATGTGCCCTGACTGGGAATTGAACCAATGACCCTTTGGTTCACAGGCCAGAGATCAATCCACTGAGCCATATCAGCCAGGGCCCAATAGATAAATTAAAATGTAGATAAGCATTATAGAGAAATAAAATATAATTGTAATAGAGAAATAAAATAGATTAAATTAAATCTGTACAGGGGTGGGCAAAAGTAGGTTTATATAATACAAATAAAAAATATGATTAATAACGAAATAATCCAAGAATAAACTGTTTCACATACTTATAACTGTAAACCTACTTTTACTCACTCTTGTATCAGGTAAACTAAATATATAAATTAAAATATAAATTAAACATACAAATTAAAATAGGCAGCCAAAGACACACAGGTAAAGGGAAACATAAGGCACAAACAGAAAATCAATAATGAAGTAGTAGGCCTAAACATGAACACATATTAATATTAAATGGTCTAAGCACTTCACTTAAAAGAGATTGTCAAAACAGATTTAAAAAAAATCAAGACAACTACATGTAATATAAGAAATTCACTTTAAATATAATAAATTAAAAGTAAAAAATGGAAAAAGATACATCATGTTAAAAATAAAAGAAAACTGAAATAGCTATATCAATATTAAATAAAGTACACAAAAATACAAGGAAAATCACCAGGATAAAGAGAAACATTTCTTAAGGATAAAATGATTAACTCACTAAGAATATGTAACAGTTATTAATGTAAAGCCATCTAACAGTTTCCAAATACATAAAGCAAAAACTGATAGAACTAAAAATATACAATATGTTGAAAACTTTAAAACTCCTGTCTCAGTAATTCATAAAAGTAAATCAAGGATATAAAAGAAATAATTAACAATATAATCAGCAGGAATTATTGACATTTACAGAACACTCCAGCCAACAGCAGCAGAATAAACATTCTTTTAAAGTATACCCATGGGACATTCACCAAGGCAGAATTATAAAACAAACCACAACAAATTTAAGAGAACTGAAATCATACTAAGTATTTCTCTCACCAAAACAGATTTAAACTAGAAATCAGTATCAGAAAGATAGCCAGAAAATCATCAAATAATTGGAAAATAAATAACAAATTTGACATTATTCACAGGTCAAAGATAAAGTCTCACTGTAAATTAAAAAACATTCTGAAATGTACACAAATGAAAATACATAACTTGAAATTAGTAGGATGTAGATAAGCAGTGCTTAAGAGGGAAATTTAAATCATTAAATAATTGTATTTAAAAATCAGGGAGGTCTTGATGAACAAACTAAACTTCCTTTCAGTAATTAAAAACAAAACAAAGCCAAATCAAGCATGAGTATTTTTTTTTTTAAAAGGAAAAAACAATGAAATCAAAAGCTGTGGACTTCTGGCCAAGATGGAGGCGTAGGTAGACACACTGTGCCTCTACGCACAACCAAAAGGACAAAAACAACTTAAAAACAAAAACAACCAGAACTGACAGAAAATTGAACTGTATGGAAGTCTGACAACCAAGGAGTTAAAGAAGAAACATTCATTCAGACCACTAGGAGGGGCGGAGACAGGCAGTCGGGCATGGAGGACTCTCAGCAAGGCAGGCAGTGGCTGGAGGACCAGGGCAGACAAGGCTGCAGGTTGTGGACTGGGTGGTCCCACATTTGCATGCAGATAAATGGGCTGGAACGGGGAGGGACAACTGGGGAGCAGGACAGACCATGCAACCCGGAGTTCCAGTGCGAGGAAATAAACCCTCAAACCTCTGACTGAAAACACCTGTGGGGGTTAAGGCGGCAGCAGGAGAAACTCCTAGCCTCCTGTGTTCGTTGGAGGGACCCACAGGGTCCTAGAACTTACATAAACCCACCCACATGGGAATCAGCACCAGAAGGGCCCAATTTGCTTGTGGGAAGCAGGGGAAGTGACTGAAAACCTGCAGAGAGTGTAGCAAGCAGCACTGTTCACTCTCTGAGCCCTCCCCCACATACAGTGTCACAACGCAGCCACAGAGGTTGCCCTGCCCTGGTGAACACCTAAGGCTCTACCTCTTACTATGTAACAGGTGCGCTGAGACAAAAAGATTGCAACGAAGAGCAACAAATCAAAAACTTATTTGAATAAATAATGAAGGAGAACTTCCCCAATCTGGCAAAGGAAATAGACTTCCAGGAAGTCCAGGGAGCTCAGAGTCCCAAAGAAGTTGGACCCAAGGAGGAACACACCAAGGCACATCATAATTACATTACCCAAGATTAAAATGAAGGAGAGAAGCCTAGAAGCAGCAAGAGATAAGGAGACAGTTACCTACAAAGGAGTTCCCATAGGACCGTCAACTGATTTCTCAAACCTTATAGGCAAGAAGGGGCTGGAAAGAAGTGTTCCAAGTCCTGAAAGACAAGGGCCTACATCCAAGATTACTCTATCCAGCAAAGCTTTCATTTAGAATGGAAGGACAGATAAAGCGCTTCCCAGATAAGGTCAAGTTAAAGGAGTTCATCATCACCAAGCCCTTATTATATGAAATGTTAAAGGGACTTATCTAAGAAAAAGAAGTACAGTAAAATAAAAAATATGAACAGTAAAATGACAGCAAACTCAGTTATTAACAACCACATCTACAACAAAAAGAAACTAAGCAAACAACTAGAACAGGAACAGATTCACAAAAATGGAGATCACATAGAGGGTTATTAACAGGGGAGTGGGAGTGGGAGAGGGAGAGGGGGGAAGGTACAGAGAATAAGTAGCATAGATGGTAGGGAGAAAATAGACAGGAGGAGGTTAAGAACAGTATAGGAAATGTAGAAGCCAAAGAACTTATATGTATGATCCATGGACATGAACTAGATGGGGGGAATGTGGGTGGGAGAGGGTATGCAGGGTGGAGTGGAATGAAGGGGGGAAAATGGGACAACTGTAATAGCATGATCAATAAAATATATATTTCTTAAAAAGCTGTGTTTTTGAAAAGAGCAAACTAGAAAGATGGAACACACATCAATACTTGCCAGGGGTTAGGGGTGGGTGGAGAATTTGATTACAAAGGTGCAGCATGAGGAGATTTTTTGGAGTGATGGAATTGTTCTGAATTCCAATTATCATGGTTGTAGTGGTTATGCAAATTATACATGCACTAAAACTTGTAAAATATACAACCAAGAAAGGGTGTGGTTTTTTGTAAATGTTTTACAAAAACAAGTTCAAAGAGGCAAATGAAAACACTTGAGGGCAGGATTGTTTTGTCTTCAAATAAATTACTGGGTTCGCCCTGACTGGTATGGCTCAGTAGGTTGGGCATCATCCCAAAAACCTAAAGGCTGCAGTTTGGTTCCTGGTCAAGGCACATGCTTGGGTTGCGGGCTGGGTCCTTGGTTGGGGGCAGGTTGGGGCAATTGATCAGTGCTTCTCTTGAGCACTGATGTTTCTCTCTTTCTCCCTCCCTTCCCCTCTCTTTAAAGTAAGTACATACATACAAACATACATACATACATATATACATAAAATCTTTAAAAAATTAAATTACTGGGTTTAATTTTACTATTTAGTTTACTCTACTTTTGAAGAATAGATTTCATAATGCTGATAGAAGTTTCAGGGGTCAAATCCATTTTGACAACCAAAAAAATAGACAGTAGTATAGAGATAATTTCAAAGTCTCAGACATAAATTTTAATGAAACAAATCCTCTATTCATTGGGTGAGAGTGGGAGGCCCGGATGAAAAATATAACTGAAACCATATACCACTAGTGAAAACTAAAAGTCTATTTTCAAAGCCTAAATGTTCCATTAACTGCAGAAATTAAATTCCATAAAAATTATGGTATTTAATTTAATCATGAAACACCAAGCATCTCTCTCCCTTGCAGATAAATACTTTTTTTCTTCTTGCCTTCAAAGTACTGAAAGTATTACTTACAGCTTTAAGGGTAAGATCACACTGGAAAACAAGTTTCTGGAGTTGTGTTAAAATTGCTCTTTTAACAATTTCTAGGTCACTTCGTCTTTCTTCAACATTTATCACACAAACTTTGTAGAATTCATTTGCTTCTTCTACCTTCAGAAGTAACACAGAAAAAAACACACTAATCCTTATACTCTATATTTAAAAAAAATACTACTGCAGTAAAGCTCAATTTATATAATAGAAAAACCTTTATGTATAAAATTATGAAATATTTTATGTTTTAAATAGGATATTTCTAAAGGTAAATAATTTCTTTTGGTCAGTGTTTCAAGGGGGCACTTAACTTTAATGGATAGTTACATACAATTTACAATTAGTATGTTGCTTGCCTATAAAATAAATGTCCACATTATATTTCATAAATACAAAAGCTTCAGCCTGGCATTGTTATCTGGTATTAAAATTAGTACATATACACTCAGTTTCCTAAAAAGTGAATTTACTAAAGAATCAAGTCAAAAATATTAAACTACTGCCTTATTTAAGATACTACTCTCACAAACAAACCCTAAAATTCAAAAGATAAACAAAAGTCCCTTAGCATACTGATTCTCCAAGTGTGGATACCCTGGGAACCTGTTAGAAATGCCAAGTTGTCTGGGGCTAACCCTAGGCCTACAGAATGAGCAACTCTGGGGGTATGGCCCAGCAGATTTTTAAACAGGCTTTCTAGGTGATCCTGCTGCATGCTGAAGGTTGAGAAGCAAAGCTTTAGCGTGTTATTTTGCAAATAACAACAACAAAAAAATCATTACTTTTTGAAGAGCCTCCTCTTCTAGCCTTCGCTTTTTTTCCAGCTGCTTGTTGAGATTTTTCACTAATCCACCACTTGAGCATTGATGTTCCTCTTCTGCACGAAACATGGAAGATTTTGCTTTTTCATATTCATCTTGACGTTGTGTGCACAGTAATTTTGCCTTTTTAAGAGCAGTCTCTGCTTCAAGCTACACAGAAAAAAGACAGAAACACTAAATTATAGCTTTCTTCAGCATATTCAATAAGATAGTTAATACAGCATTTTAGAAAAACTATAGAGTAATATATGCATCTTCCCAGAGCAGTAGTTTATGTACTACAGATAATTTTAGATATTCACAAATTGTTGTACTAACCATTTTAGACTTCCAGCCAAGATGGAGGCGTAGGTAGATACACTTTGCCTCATCACACAACCAAAAGGAGGACAACAACAAATTTAAAAATAAAAATGACCTGCACTGCCAGAAAATTGAACTGTATGGAAATCCAACAACTAATGAGTTCAAGAAGAAACATTCATCCAGACCAGCAGGAGGGGTAGAGACGGGCAGCCAGGTGGAGAGGACTCACAGCAAGACAGCATCTGGAAGACCATGGCAGGCAATGTGGTGGCTGGCGGAGTGGGAGGTCCCACATTTGCATGCGGATAAACCAGGAAAAACCGCTGGGGAGTGAGACAGGTTGAGCAACCCAGGGTGCCAATGTGGGGAAATAAAGCCTCAAAGACTGACTGAAAAAACCTGTGGGGATTGCAGTGGCAGGAGAAACTCCCAGGCTCACAGGAGAGTTCGTTGGAGAGACCCACAGGGTCCTAGCACATACACAAACCTACCCACATGGGAATCAGCACCAGAAGGGCCCAGTTTGCTTGTTGGAAGTGGGGGAAGTGATTGAAAGCTGGCTGGAGAGCTGAGCAAGCAGCACTGTTCCCTCTCTGGCCCTTTCCCCACATATAGCACCACAATGCAGCAAAAAGTGTTGTCCCACCCTGGTGAACACCTAAGGCCCCTTACTATGTAACAGTCGTGCCAAGACAAAAAAAAAATGGCCCAAATGAAAGAACAGATCAAAGTTCTAGAAAAATACAACTAAGCTAGGAAAAGATAGCCAACCTGTCAGATGCACAGTTCAAAACACTGGTAATCAGGATGCTCACAGAAATGGTTGAGTATGGTTGCAAAATAGAGGAAAAAGTGAAGGCTAGCATAAGTGAAATACAGGAAAATGTACATGGAACCAACAGTGAAGGGAAGGAAACTGGGATTCAAATCAAAGGTTTGGAGCAGAAGGAAGAAATAAATATTCAACCAGAACAGAATGAAAAAAAAAAAAATAAGAATAAAAAAATATGACGATAGACTTAGGAATTTCTGGGACAACTTTAAACATTCCAACATCCAAATCATAGGGGCACCAGAAGGAGAAGAGGAAGAGCAATAAATTAAAAACTTATTTGAAAATATAATGAAGGAGAACTTCCCCAATCTGGCAAAGGATATAGACTTCCAGGAAGCTCAGAGAGTCCCACAGAAGTTGGACCCAAGGAAGCAAACACCAAGGCACATCATAGTTATATTACCCAAGATCAAAGATAAGGAGAGAATCTTAAAAGCACCAAGAGAAAAGCAGTTACCTACAAAAGAGTTCCCATAAGACACAGGTGGCAAATACAAAGCTTGCAGGCTGATCTACCTTGTTTTATTTGGCCGCAGTGCCAAGCTCCTTGTCCCTAGTTAAGAAGTAGTTATATTTAGACAGTCATAAAATTACATTTGGCCCTTTGGAGGCAACTGAGAAGTTGATGTGGCCCCCAGTGAAAATGAGTTTGACACCCCTGCCATTAGATTATCAGCTGATTTCTCAAAAGATACCTTGCAGGCAAGAAGGGTCTGGAAAGAGGTAAGTATTCATAGTCATGAAAAGCAAGAACCTACATCCAAGATTACTCTATCCAGCAAAGCTTTCTATTAGGATGGAAGGACAGATAAAGTGCTTCCTAGATAAGGTCAAGTTAAAGGAGTTCATCATCACCAAGCCCTTATTATATGAAATGTTAAAGGGACTTATCTAAGAAAAAGAAGTACAGCAAAATAAAAAATATGAACAGCAAAATGACAACAAACTCACAACTATCAACAACTGAACCTAAAAAAACAAAAACAAACACAAAAAGAAACTAAGCAAACAACTAGAACAGGAACAGATTCACAGAAATAGAGATCATGTGGAGGGTTATCAGTGGGGAGGGAGAGGGAGGAGAATAGGGGGAAAGGTACAGAGAATAAGTATAAATGGTAGGTACAAAATAGGAGGAGGGTAAGAATAGTATAGGAAATGTAAAAGTCAAAGAACTTACATGTACAACCCATGGACATGAACTAAGAGGGGGGGATGATGGTAGGAGAGGGGTGCAGGGCAGAAGGGAATAAAGGAGGAAAAATGGGACAACTGTAATAGCATAATCAGTAAGATATAATAAGAAAAAAATAATACTAACCATTTTACTTTGTTCCTGTTTCCAAAGTTCTTTTATTTCTTTCCTTTGTTTTTCCATTTCATTTTTCCTCCCAAGTAGAGGCTGTCAAGAGCATTTTAAAAGAAGAAAGAAAGAAAAGCTGTTTTCTAAAGGTATGTTGTTTTTTTAAAAAAATGTGTACTGTACATACAAATTTTTACCTGCACAAATTTGTTGGTTTGGAGAGCTGCAATTGTTTGTTGTAGAAGGTGACTGCTCTCGATATCATTAGTAAGGGCACTGGTAAATACAGACTGCAGTGGCATAAACTCCTAGAATTTAAAATTGAAAAGTAAATTTTCCAACACAAATGGCACTAGAGTTCTAGACCCACCTTCCACTACACTTCTTTAAAATTTTACACTTCTTTAACACAGAGAAATTTGAAGTTACACCCTTTTTAAGAAAAACAACCTATTTATAAATATGACCATGGGAAAAATATTGAAGAAAGTTAATGATAATTAATTAGAAAATTAGAAAAATTAATATCTAACAAGATAACAGTCATATAAAATTGTGAATTTCCTAGGTTATTTTCATAATGGGTATCCAGGTCAATTTAAGAGGATTTTATTCTGCTAATAAAAAGTTTAGCATTTAAGTTCTTCTCTACATTAATTATGAAGTTTTCTGATTTTCCAAGGCACTATCAGGAGTTCATCTGAATAATCTCTTGGTATAGAATCCTAGTAGTTCACTGAACACTTACCTGTAGTCCAAAGTTAGTTCTAGTTGCCTCTGCCAACTTGACAATATTTCTACTGGACTCCAATTCTGAAAAGGTCAAAGAAAGCATAAGAAGATAAAAATAACTTATTTATCCCTTCCACACTCCAACATTATTTGTAATTCTCCAATTAATAAGTCATCACAAATACTAATCCACATGATATGATGTTATGAGTCTTTTATTTTTTATTGTATTTTTTCCATTACCGTTTAGTCCCCTTACATCTCCCTTCCCCTGCTACAACCACCACACTTTTGTCCGTGTCCATGAGTCCTTTTTCCTTTTTGCTCAGTCCCTCCACCTCCTACTCTCTGGCCCCTCAGCTGTCATCCTGCTCTTTATCTACCTTTGGCCAATAGACAGGAAAAGATGTGCAACATCACTAATCATCAGAGAGTTGCAAATTAAAACCACAATGAGATACCATCTCACACCCGTCAGAATGGCCATCATCAATAAATCAACAAACAATTATTAACAAAGATGTGGAGACATGGGAACCCTCATGCCCTGTTGGAGGGAATGCAGACTGGTGCAGCTACTATGGAAAGCAGTATGGAGATACCTCAAAAAATTAAAAATGGATCTGCCTTTTGACCCAGGAATTTCACTTGTGGAAATATATCCAAAGGAACCCAAAACACTAATTTGAAAGAACATAAGCACCCCTATTCATTGCAGTATTATTTATAGTCACCAAGACATGGAGGCAGCCCAAGTGTCCACTAGAAGATGAGCAGATAAAACAAGTATGGGATGCTGTGATTGTGCATCAGAAATGTTAGTCAAAATCAACTGGGAAACTTGCAAAACACACTTGTTTAGACTTCACCTGGGGAGTGGGGAACTAGGCCTATTTATCTGAAGGGCATTCTCTATTAAAAGCAAATAATGTAGTAAAAAGAGCACTGGATTTGGATAAATTATCTATTCTTCCAGTTATTGCTATGTGATCTTAGGCAAATCTGCAATTTAACATTAAGCAGATCACCTATCTTGTCTGTCTCAGCTGTAAAAAGGGGATAATAATTCTTGTCTACTTCCCAGGTTTCTGGTAAGGATTAAAAGAGAAAATTGATATAAAAGCATTTTGTCAACAATAAACATTGGGAAAACATTAGCTGTTAAGATGTTCCTTATATGTTTCCACTACCTTCTGTTCATACATCTATTGTTGGTTTTATCTCCTTTTATCATATTATCTGATGGCATTTGTTTTTACTACTAAAGTATAACTTTCTTAAAGTCAAACACAGTACACAATTTGTGTTTGTGTCCCCAGATGTAGTGGTTGCCCTATAGTAATATTCAGTAAGTACATTTATTGTTAGATGAGTCTTTCTTATTTCAAGAAGAGAAAATGGACAATAATTTTACTTACTAGAATGAAACAAGCTACTAATTTGAAATCATATTACTCACAGTCTGTATCAAATGAATTTCAAATAATTTAGTTCTTACAATCCAAAGTTCATCAGATGACCCAAAGGGCTACTTACCCAAGTTAAGCTTCTTTTCAACCCATGACACTACATTCTTGGTATATTTTGACCATGTTTTTACATATGACAAAGCCAGTTCTACAGAGTCAGTGTTCTTTAACAGCATGCTGTCTATTTCTATAGGAGAAAAATTTCCTGAAAATAAAAATATTAAAGTAAGTATATTAAATATGACCATGTAACTCTTAAACAAAGGAATATTCGAAACCTAAGATGTTCTTCAAAGAAAGACACTTTAAAAAATACAAGAAACAAATCTAGAATTAAAGGGTCACACTTAAAATGGTTTCAAATTACAATGTATTTTTTATCTTTTTTAATATTTTATTTAACCTTTATTTTATTTTTTCCATTACCATTTAGTCCCTTTACACCCCTGCCTCCAGCACTGTTGTCCATGTCTATGGGTCCTTTTTCCTTTTTGCACAATCCCTTCACCCCCTAACCACCCCTGCCACTAGCTGTCATCTGCTCTCCATCTATGAGTCTACGTTTTTCTTATTATTTCAGTTTGTTCATCACATTCCATATATGACTGAAATCATAGTATCTGTCTTTCTCTGATTGGCTTATTTCACTTAGCTTAATGTTCTCCAGGCCCATTCATATGCTTGCAAAGGGTAAAATTTTATTCATTTTTACTGCCAAGTAGAATTCCATTGTGTAAATGTCCCATAGTTGTTTTATCCACTCATCTATGGATGGCCACTTAGGCTGCTTCCATATCTTGGAGACTGTAAATAACACTGCAATGAACATATGGGTGCTTATGATCTCTCGTTTGTGTTTTGGGTTCTTTTGGATATATGCCCAGAGGTGGGACTGCTGAGTCAAAAGGCAGATCCATTTTTAACTTTTTTGAGGTATCTCCATATTGCTTTCCACAGTAGCTGCACCAGTCTGCATTCCCACTAATAGGGAAAAAGGGTACCCAGGGTATCCCTCTCTCCACATCCTCACCAGCACTTCTTGTTTGTTGATTTATTGATGATGGCCATTCTGACAGGTGTGAGATGGTATCTCATTGAGGTTTTAACTTGCAACTCTCTGATGATTAGCGATATTGCACATCTTTTCCTATGTCTATTGGCCAAATGTATGTCCTCTTTGGAGAAGTATCTATTCAGGTTATTTGTCCATTTTTTAATTGGGTTGTTTTTTGTGTGTGTTGAGTTTTGTAAGTTCTTTATAACTTTTGGATATTAACCCCCTATCAGATGTATTGGTGAATATGTTCTCCTATTCTGTGGGTTTTTTTATTTTGTTGATGATTTTCTTTGCCTTGCAAAACCTTTTTAGTTTGATGTAGTTTCATTTGTTTATTTTTTCTTTTGTTTCCCTTGTCTGAGGAGATGCTGTATTTTGCCATGTATAATGTGCACTTTTTTGCCACTCTAGTTCATTTATTTCTGCTCTGATATTTACTATTTCCTTCCTTCTACTCACTCTGGGCTTTGTTTGGTGTTCTTTTTCAAGCTCCTTCAAGTTTGTGAAATTAGACTGTTTATTTGAGCTTTTTCTTGTTTTTTTTTACATAGGCCTATAATGCTATTAATTTCCCTCTTAGAATTGCTTTCCCAGTGTCCCACAGATTTTGGGCTGTTGTGTCCTCATTTTCATTTGTTTCAAAGTATCTTTTGATTTCTTCCTTGACCTCGTTATTGACCCATTCATTATTTAATAACGTTTTATTTAGCTTCTATATCTTTGCATGTTTTTCAGTGTTTTTCTTGTTACTGATTTCTAGTGGTCAGAGAAGATGAAATGTATTTTTAATCTTAATATGTATGTCTATTATTCATCAAGTTACAAGCTCAATATAGTTCTTGATCAGTCTCTATCATCACTATCTACTCTAGTAGGTTTTTTCCTTCAGTTTTATACATAAAACTTTACATATCAGTTTATGTTAAAATAAATACATATTAGGTTACTAAGCAAGAAGAGATCTAAAACATTTATCAAAATCCAAACATTTATTGAAGGTAACTGAAAAAAGTTTGGCAAAGGTTTAAAGTATGTTAAGCATTACCTTTTTCAATGGATGAGTCCACTGATTCCATGGAAACATTTTCAAAAGACTTACAACATGAAAGAAAACAAATTTAAGGTTAGAGCAGAAGGTAACAGATCTTTGCTTCAGTATTTTTTCACTGTAACTTGTTATTCTGACATAATTCCTACTAAAAACATTTTAAGTATTTAGAACTCAACAGGTCTGAGAACTCTGTTTAAATGCCAGAACATTTATAAGAATTATACAGCTTTTTTACAACAGCAGTTGTCAAGGTCCAAGAATGAAGAAGCTGATTGCTTACTAGCAGCATTAGGTAACATTAATGAATCTGTTCAAAACTTAAATTCTGCAGACCTCAAAAATATTAGTCAGGAAGTTAAAGAAGCAATCTAAATAGACTGCTATCTAAGTAGAAGATAAAGACCTATCTCTTCCAGTCATCTTTTACCATTTTATTATATGACAAGCATTTTCTTTGAATGCTTATTGGAAAGCATAGCACAGAATTTTCTAAAATGATGGAAATGTTCTATATCTGCACTGTCTAATAAGGTAGCTACCAGTTACATGTAGCTATCTGAGAATACAAAAAGTGGCTAATGTAAATGAGAAATAAATTTTTAATTTTAATTATTTTAATTAATTTTAATTTAAAGAGTTACATGTAGCAAGAGGCTACCTTACTAGACAGTGCAGAAAATGATATCTACCAAAATTGTGAGATCACAAATAAATCTGACCCATTTCATTGGACAATATGGAGTATGCAGGGATTCAATGCAAAAGGGATCAAAGAGACATGGGTTTGAAGTCCAGGTGTATCACTCATTAGCTGTATGACATTGGCCTACATATTTAAGCTCACCTAACTTTGGTTTGCCCATCTGCAAAATGAGGATAAGAATACTTTCATCAGGCTATTTTAAGGACTGAGACAATATGGGCTTCACACAGTACAAGGTACACAATAAGCTCTACTAAATAAATAGCAACTATTAATTTTAACCATATTTTTCAAAACTCATCAAACAAAATAATTGTATTTTATTATTAGTATTATATCATCATGAATAAGGTAAATCAAAAACTACAAAAAGAAAAACAAGGTGCAAAAGAAAAAAGAAAGCAAAAGGTATTTTCCTATTAGGAATTAATATAAAATTTATGTACAACAGAGGTACAGGAACAGGAAATATGATTCATACCAAAAAGTTAAACAGTTCAGAGCCTTGTCACAGTCCAGAGCTTTGTCACACAGACATAATTTTTATTATATCTTCTGGATTAGCAGCACAATTGAAAATAAAACACTGAAGAAAAATCATAACTAATATTCAAATATCTTAAAATTCTTCATTATTCTGATATGGTTTATACACTATCCTCCTTGATTCATTAATGAATGTCTTTAGTCAAATTTTTTTTCTCAATATTATAGTACATAGAAAATGCCTTAAGCAGTCATTGATATTTTCTATCATCTTAAGAAAGACCTGAAACTTTTATATTACTTTTATATAATGTTCCAGTTTATATATACTTGGCACATTTCCAAATATTTGTTGAAAATTTTTTGGCTTTGATCATCCTTTACAGCAAATGATCAACATATGTTTCTAATGAAGTTTTTAAAATATCTTGCATTTGGTTAAAAAAATTATTTAAATGAAAATACTACAACTATAAATCTTTAAAGTAATATTCTATATACATTTCTCTTATGTTCTATTATTTCAGAGCAATTTTTCTTCCAATTGGGAATCAGAAACTCAATCCTCTTGACACACTTATAGGGGAGCTCTTGGGGGACCGAAGACCTATAGGTCTGTTAATAAGTGTTTCAATTTGTGAGATTAATGCCTCTTTACTTCTTGCATTATTTTTCTAAGTTTCCACCAGTCTTTAAGATCTGTGACAATTTCAATAGAGAAAAATGGTTAAGAATTACTTTCTAAAGCGTTGGCCCTTATAACATGGATTCATTACTTAAGACGCTAAAATTATCAGATATTTTCTTTTATTTTTTTTATCCTTACCCGAAGACTTTTTTTTTTCATTGCTTTAGAGAGGCAGGAAGGCTGGGAGAAAAAGAGAAAGAGAGAGAGAGAAAGGCGGGTGGGGAATATCGATGTAAAAGAAACACTGATTGGCTGCCTTCCTGTAAGCGTCCTGATCAGGTAACAAAACCGGTAACCTGGGTTTTTGCCCCAACCTGGAATCAAACCAGTGGCCTTTAGTTACTGGATGATGCTCCAACCAACTAAGCCACACTGGTTAAGGCCAGATGTGTCCTTTTAAATGATAGCTCTACTTAAAAGTATGATTACATTTTTGCTCCAGAAACTGACTGTAAATTATCATATTTAATATAAATTGCTCTGTTTTTCTTGCTAAACTCAAAAACTATGAAATAGTAATGCTGAGATTAAGATTAGAAAATTATTGAAATATTAAGTTAAAAATATTAAAGCCTTTACTTTCCCACAAACTTGGCTTACCTTACTTTCCTGAGAGACAGGCAGTCGAAATACTGAATCATTGCCTACATCTCCCATAAGGAAGTTTGTCAGGCTATACAGGGAGGTTAAAAAAAAAAGAAACAAATAAAAGACAAGTCATTATATCACTCTGTCACAGATTTATATTCAACATGTCATCCAGAATAAATTTTTTTCAGTTAAGATCTTTAGAAATAAATTCCTAGGTCTCTACTCACATAAACCACATAGTCATTTGCAAATGAATGCTGCTTTTCAGTAGTTCTAAAGACACTTTCATATGCAGTAATAAAATGACACAGTACACAGTTTTTCTGTTGTGATAATATTTTATATTGGTTAATACTATACTTAACATGTATTTACTGAATTATGTGACATAACTCTCACTGAGATACCTAGGCCCAAAATTCTTTAAATGACACTACTCTACTTACATATGCCCAAAAGTAAAGGCCAAGGTTTCAATGGAAGAAAACACTTCTCTGAAGAGGTCGTTTTTGTTTTCTTCATTAACGTCTGTGAAGTTCACAGCTATAGGGAAAGATTGGTTAAAATCAATGATGACAAAAATATTTTAATCTACATTTATACAAAGTCATTTAATGCTTTAAAAATCTACCATTACTTATACAAGCATTAGAAAATTCAGAAAATGAACAGCTTAATACACAAAATGGACATGATGTTCAATTCTTTATTCAAAAAAATCGTACAAAAGAATGAGCTTACATAAAAGTAGCTGGCATTCCAAACTGACTATGCCATGCATCATATAATCTGACACATATATGAAGTGATTCAATGTGAAATCAATCAGTCTTGGGGTCCCAGGGTACACGTTCCACCAGACTTCTCTCATTAAGAGTACTCTGTGCTATTTCCTCTTGCTTATTGTTTTGTGCCATTTTTTTAAAAAAAGCTAAATACCCTGTAGCTTACTTATATCAACATCAAGTACAGTTTTCATTATGAATTACCAATAATTGAAGTCATACATCCATTTGACATAGCATAAAGCCTATATACAAAGCATGCCACATAAAAATACCCCATGTTTTAGAAAATGTAAATTCCTATTTATTTATAACTTTATTTCTTACAGGTCCTTGGGCTCGGAGGTCCATGTTAATTGATATCTAACTGTCTTTTGTTTATCATAGGGATATTCTAACATTTGCATTTTGTTAAAGCAAACTGTGAAACATAAATGAAAAAGGTCTCTTATAACTTCTCTGTGTGCATCTCTGTTAAAAATCTAGATGATTTATTAGGACAAAATCTGATGACAGAATTGGCAATTTTTGAAAAGTAACCTATTCTACTCAGGTGGGTTTAAGAAGCAACTAGCTCCTTTATCCTCCCTTCCCTAGGATCCTTGCCACCAAAGGGAAGGTAGAGAAACCAACTGGAGAGGAAAACATTCTTTGCCTTAAAACAGACTTGTCCTAAAGCTTGCTGCACATTAGAATTAACTAGGGAGTTTTAAAACCAAAGTCTGAGTCCCACCATCAAGGGCTCAGATTTCATAGGTATGGGTGAAGCATATATATTTATTTAAAAGTTTCCCAGGTGATCCTAATGTGTAACTAGGGTTAAAAATGCTTGCTGGAAAGCAAGGATCCCTTAGCAGGGATAAATTAAATCCTAAACCTACAACTGAGATTTTACACGTATAAGCCTTTGTAGATATGAAGGGCTAAGGTCCATACCTTTCATCAGATTCTTCTAAGTATTCCAGATACAAACAAAAAGAAAAAATTACCATAACTAATTTTAAAACATTTTTGGACTTCTGCTCTGGCCTAGATGGAAAACAGGCTTATACTTTTCTGCCTGAAACAACTAAAAGAAACCCGTAACAAATCTTATGAGATAATGGTTTTCAAGACAATGGCTATCACTCAACAAAGGACAAGAACCCTAAAGACAAGAAACAAACATGGTAAACTCTACAACTTCTCGGCTTACTGCCTAGTATCACACAAAGTAGATTTCTGAGCAAAGGAAACTGCCAGGGATAAAGAAGGTCATTTTATAATAACAAAGAAGTCAATTTGTCAAAAAGTGCACCTAGTAAAAATTTTAAAATGCCTGAAGCAAAAATGAATAGAACTACAATGAGAAATAGGCAAATTCACAGTAATAGCCAAAGATTTTGATAACCCTCTCAGTAACTGACAAAAATGGTAAATGGAAAATCAGTATGAATATCAGCTACCTTGAGTGGCTGGATAATTATAGAACACGCCTCCCAATAACAACAACATGTATTCTCTTCCGGTGAACAAGGAATATTTACCATATTATTGGCCACAAAACATGTCTCAATGGGTTTAAAAGGATTCGAATCAGGCAAAATATGCTGTGACTAGATTAAATTAAATTAGAAATGAGAGAAAAATCTCTGGAAAACCCCCACATATTAGAAAACCAATCAAAACACTTCTAAATAACTTGTGGGTCAAGAAAGGAAAAGGGTGATTAGAAAGTATTTTGCACAGAATGAAAATGAAACACAACTAATTGGAACTGGTGAAAGGGAGGGACAGAGGGGAGGGCTGAAGGGATGAGGACTGTGACAGTTTCACGAGGATATTCATGTAGAAACTTATCAGACTGTACCCTTTCAACTTGTGAAGTTTCCTGAATTTCAGTTATACTTCAATAATGCTGTTTCTAAAATCTCATTGGGAAGAAAGAAGACTTTAAATAGTAATTTATAATGTGAGCAAAAATGTAAAGCCTACTCTTATTTCCAAACTTTAACCTGCTAGACTGCAAAGAAAAAAACTTATTCTTTCTATCCTATAATCATACTTTTTTATAGCACTAAGTATGACAGGGGAATTAAAAAATAATTTCCCTGCTGTTGTGCCTCAGTGGACTGAGTGCCAGCCTGCAAACCAAAGGGTCACCAGTTTGATTCTCAGTCAGGGCACACATCTGGGTTGTGGGCCAGGTCCTCAGTCGGGGGTATGCGAGAAGCAACCACCCACTGATGTTTCTTTCCCTTTCTCCATCCCTGCCCCTCTCTCTAAAAATGAATAAATAAAAATCTAAAAAAAGCCTATAAAAATAATTTTGAGTAATGAAAAGACAATTATTTCAACCATTATCCTCCCTAATCTTCATCCCCATCTGAAAGAGATTATGTCATCTAAGGAAAATTTCAGTAACTGCCCTCCCCTCTACTTCAAAACATCCCTATATTTCTAATATCCTTTATCTCTTTTGCTCCTATCAGTTTTCCATAGAAAAGTCTTTGGCTCCTTTCTAGTAATAAACTTCCCACTCTGTTCTGCACTCTTCAAAAATCTTTATCACCATCACTCCTCTCTTATAACTTCACTTGACATTTTTTTTCTCTTGCTAACATACTTAAATCTTTCCTATGTGAAAAAAATGTCATTTTACTATATTTCTTCTTAAAGCTACCACCCAATCTAACATACCATTTCTTTACTGCCAGCCCTCTATAAATAGGTCATGACTCAATTCCCCAAAATTTGGCTTTTCATACAGTTTAACTGATGATCAGGGGTTAGAAAACTTTTTCTATAAAGGGCTATATAATAAATATTTTATATTTTTCAGACCATACTGTCTGTTGCAACTATCCAACTCTGCCTAAAGGAGCCAAACTTAAACAGATGAGATACAATGATATACAAACAGACAAGAGTGGATATGTTCCAATGTAACTATTCACGAAAACAGACAGCAGGCCAGATTTAACCCACTGGTAGTAGTTTGCTGCCTGGCTTTGTGATGCGTTCTGAAGCCAGTCTGCTTAGGTTAAACCCTAACTGTCTCTTACTTGGTTAAGGTACTTAACTTCTCTATGCCTCTGTTTCCTCATTTATAAAATGGGAATAATAATTTGTATTTCGGGAACTGTTGTACAGATTGAATAAATTTAGAACAGAGCCTGTGACACAGAAAATGCTCAATAAATGTTAGTTAATATTTTCACTCAATACCATTAAATAACAGTCAACAATACCCTCCTAGTACTCAAGCTTGGAGGGCATTTTTCTTCTAAATTTTCATCCCACTTTACCATTCTGCAATGCTCAACAACTCTACCACTTAATAGGTGTACAACCTTGTACAAACTTCTGTTTCAGCTTCATTATCTGCAAAACAGGAGCTGATATAACCACAGCACTGACCTCAAAACTTTGCTGAGGATTAATGAGATAATCCATGAAAAGAGCTTGGCAGTTTCTGGCATACGTAAGTACATCCTCAATAATGTTAACTATTATTACTATACTTCCCTCCATCTTGATGTACTCTGCTCCCTCAGAAGTAATGTGGTATAAGAATTAGAAGAAGGCAGGCTTCAGAGTTTTAGATCTAAATTCAAATCTGACCTTTACCATTTCCTGTGTCACTCTGGATACATTACCTAACTTTGATTTCTTCATATGTGCAATGGCATATTATGGAAAGGAACAACAGAGAAAATAAATGTAAAGCACTTAGAGTCCAGTGCTTGGTAATTAGTAAACATAAGTGTCCTCACATTCTACATCTGAGACAACCTGAACTTCAGACAATCGTTCCACTCAGCCTATACATTATCCCCACAGAACCTTGTTCACTCTCATACCTTCAAAGGAATGAATTCTTAAACTACCTGTACTTGTCTAGTTTTAACCTCGGAGCTCAGACCCACCTTTCCAATGGTCTGTTTGATATATTCCTTCCCCCTCTTCCCAGTCTTCACCCACCAGCATTGCAAACTCAACATGTACTAAACTGTACTTTATCTTCCTTTGTACTCTGCCCCTCAAAACTACTCTTTTCCATACATTCCTTAGTTCAACAGCTTAGCTTTCAAAATGCCTCTAAAACAGTTTCTTCTTCCTTTTCATTCCCATTAGCACTGACTTAGACCAAAAGGCCACACTGTACCCCTAGTCTGGCCTACATAACCACCTGTTCATTGGTGTCTGTCTCTACTTGTGCCCTCCTATTGGCCCCTCTTCAAAATTTCATCAACATTTTGCTCCAGGTTCAAATAATTTTCTCCCTTGGGTTCCCTATTAAGTCTCAACAGTACACACTAAGACACACTAAGTATGTCTTTAAGAAATCACTTAAGTAGCTTTCATACATACAACCAATTAGAATAGCAACTTTCAAACTTTTTGACCACAACCTTCAGTAAGACAAACATTTTATATCATGACAGAGTATACCATACACATGTAATAGTAATTGGTTATTTAATACCTATAAAGTTTTGAAACATCCTTAAGTCTTATTTAATGAGTGTTACATTCTGATTTTTCTTTCTATTCTCTTTCATACTTTAAAAATGCTGATCACGGTGCACTAACTTGAAAACCATTGAAACAGAAGATATAATGGAAGAAAAATTTCACCTTTTGCATGGAGAAAAAATGCTGAGGGGGAAAAAAGCCAGAAGATTTACAAAATGAAAACTTTAAGTTGTTTCTAAAACATAAAAGACAACCTGAAATGCATGTACTGTATTATCAGAGAGAAATGCTAAGTATATAAATTCTCCTTAACTTAATTTATAAATTTAACTCAAGTCACTCTCAAAATACTAAAATATATTTTGGAACTAGACAAGTCAATTCAAATATCTGGATGAAAAAATAAACCCTGCACTAAAAGAGTGCTAGCAAGAGGAACTACCCTTACCAGATACTAAAACATACTGTTAAACTACAATAAAGGCAGTGTGGTATTGGTACATGACTAAACACATCAGTGGGACACAAAACAGACCAGAAATAGATATAAAAAACAAACAAAAGAAAATCTGCAACTTATACCAAAGATCAGAATTAATTCCACTTGTAGACAGGTAAAGGGTCAATTCACATAAAAGGATGTACAAATGGCTCTGAAACATATAAAAAGATACTAAACTGCACTCAAAATAAGAAAAATGCAAATCAAATATACACTGAGATACCAATTTTTGCTATAACTGGATATACAAAGATCAGAGAACAAAGCTCTCCTGGCAGAGGTGCAGAAAATTAGTGTATTCAGCACTGCTAAAAGAAGGGCAAACCTCTACAGAGGGCATGTGGCAATACCCAAAAGATAAATGCACATGCTCTCTGGTCCAGTAACTGCCCATCTAACAATTTATATACGTATTCATTGAAGCATTGTTTGAGAAAAACTGGGAATAATCCAAACATCTATTAGTAGTGAACTGGTAAAATAAATTATAGTACACCAATATAATGGATTATCATGCAGCTTTGGAAAAATAAAGCAAATAAAACAAAAGAATAAGGAAACCTTTTATGTACAGATAACTCAACAATGAGCAAGAAGGATGATATCATTTGTACAAAAAGGAGGATAAAAAAGAGAATATATTGTATTTGCTTACATCTGCGTAATAAGATATACAAATACCCAGTAATGGCTGTTGCTTATCTAGGGAAAGGATTGGGTGGAAAGTGTATTCATGGCTGAGTGCTCTTTTACACCATTTCCATGATCCACTGTGTAAATGAATTGCCTATTGAAAATTAATTTTTCAAAACAGAAAGAAAACATGAGGCTTCTATAATTTTGGATATTTACTAGATCTTACTTTACTTTTTCATTTGTTAATTATAGGCCAAACAGATCATGAAAAACCTAAGTAATCCTTTTAATTTATATTAATAATGAGATTTAACTTGTATTACAAATGAGACTAACTGTAAATACTAATGAAAACACAAAAAATAAGTATATAATAAATTATCGCATGTTGAAGGTACCTTTATCTACTTCAAAAATAGGCTGTATCTCTCTTACCATATTCTAAATATTTTGTCAGACTAAGCTTCCTGCTTGGAAACAGGAGGAGACACAGGAAATACAAATCATTACTAGAATGAATGAGGAAAAGTAAGGATTTTTCATTTGAAGTTATTAAAAAGTAAATTTCACATTTAAAATAAAAAATGAGGAGTCAGGTTCCAATTTCTCACTTATCATGCTTAGAAGTGGGTAAATTTCATGCAAACATCCTGTAGAACAAACAAGATTATACCTCTCTGATTCTACAGTTATTCTGTATTTATATGTAATTGTTTAACGGTGTAGTACATATTCGCAAAATGTATTTGACAGTTAAGACCTCCAAAACAGGGTCATAGTTGTTTTCTAAATGTACTCAGGGGGTTAAGACAAGATAATCTCCACATTCAGAAACTTTCTGATTCTACAATACTTTTTTCTTTATATTTTCCTCTTTAAAACAGAAATAACAATGTACCTTTATAGATGTTTGAAAATATTAAAGTAGACAGTTTATGCAAAACACTGAGGAAATGCCACAGAGCAGAACTAAAAAATGGTTTCTACCTCCCCCTAGCCTTTTCAGGTTTGAAAACTAAATTATCATTAAATGGAAGAATTAAATAAGCTCTGATTTAACCTCAATTTGTTAGGTCACTGAATGTTTTTCATCTTGGATATCGGTGGTATTTTTAGACGACCTCAAGAATAAAGATTGCGTGTGTCGGGGGTGGGGAGTATATTTAAAAACAAACTTAACACCAAAGAAAACACAATTTTTAAAGTTTTCCAGTCTCCAGTCTCATGGAATCCTATTGAACCAGAATAAGTCTCTCAACAAAGTAATCTTTTAAACTTCATCCAACACAAAATAAATCCTAACAATAATCTCAAGGGTAAAGACAGACATAGAAGGAAATAATATTCAAAAGATTGCTTTACCTCAAAACAAACAAACAAAAAAAAACAAAAAAGATCTTCAATGCGGCTCAGAGGCCACCTTCTTCAGGGCTGCTCCTGGAATGTGGACCCCAGCTACGCACAGGCACACTCCTTCCCCAGGACATCCTGACTGCACACAATAGCTACTGACAACAATTGCGTGAACTGTGGCTGCTATTTCCAAGCATGGAAATTTTACTATCTATAGACACAAATTTCCCTAAGTTAAGTTAAATGGCTCTTATAAACAGTCTATTTAAAAAACAAATTTGGCTATTAAGCAAATTTTTAAAAGTCACAAAAGAAGTTATTCATTTTTTCTATTTAAATCCATCTACTTTTTCTGCAGTGCATGAAATACAAAAAAATAACCGCACAATATGATACATTATGATACATTTATGTCAAAAGTAGAGGAGGCAGTTCTTAAGTAAATGAACTATGCTTTATGGAAAACATTCTTTGTTCTTCCTGCCTCATCCCTTGACACTTGCCATTTGCCTCTCTATCTATGAGTGTGTTCACCAATTATATCATGTTTTTCAACATCCAGAGTTCTGGTACATGTGCCCTATATCACAGTCCCCAATGGGGCCCTCTAGCCCAGAAAGTAAATGCCGACTTGACCTTGCAGAGGCAGGACAAGTAATTCTGCTCCAGAAGGAAACCTAGCCTTTCCTTTCCCGACTCAATCCCCACCGGGGAATCACTTTTCATGGTTAGATTACTTGAATTTGTATTACCTATTAGTGACATTTACACTGAAGATCCTCCTTAGCACCTTGCACTTTTAGATTTCATGACATCTTTCTCCAAATCATCTCCTTCTCAAGTGGCATCTCTCTGTCTCTGGGATCTCATATCAGTTCTCTCTTTATTCTGCACACCCTGAATTGGTGTCACCCTCTTCCATCACCACTTACACATCAGCAACTCTCAAGTCCACATCTTCAACTCCAAACTCCAACTTAACCCTTAATATTCAGCCTGTGGTATGTCTCATCAAATTAACATCCATCCCCTCTCCTGTAACAACCACATTCCACCTTTCCCACATCTCCCTTCTGCCTTAGATCAGACTGTCAACCCTCATCTTGTTCATTATTTCTAACAATCTCCTAAATGAACTCTGTGCCTCCAGTCTCATTTCTTCTCCAATACTCACTTTACCCTCAGTCCTTCCTATATACTGCAGCCCAGAATAACAGATTCTACTATTTGGGGGTGGCAAGTCATTTCAATAGATGATAATGTTGCAATTCTTGATTCTTTTAGCACATGTTTTACACACACAACTATATATACTTTTACATATATACATGGTAAACTTATTTTACAACTTTAGTTTCATTTTTCATACTTTAAATCATCTCCCACCTAAGTCTTCTCTTTCTCCATTGGGTTCCCTAGTTTAAGCTGAGTCACTACAAATGACCATTTCCTAGTACCAACCATCTTCACAAAACGACTTTATATACCAGTAGCCTCCTTTTCAAACAACTCAAAAATTGTAAATATCAGTTGTTTAGTTTATTTTATTTAATATTTTTAGTGTTTTCTACCGAATAAAGTTTTAATTTTTAGAAGGAAGAATTTTAGGTATGACAGCGGGAATATTAAATAGTGAAGTATATATACAGCCCCTATTAATAGGCATCACATCAGTGCCATAAAAGAAGATGGGTCTATAGTGATTATGAATGAAAAGGTATCACTTGGGTCTTTTTTGCCCTCACCAACCCACTTTTAATATATCTTTCTTACCTTTCACTTTTGCAGTAAGAGTTTCTGCTGCATTTTGAAGATCAACAGAATTGAGGTTCTGATGTTTATTCATGACAGACTTTAAAACACGGAGAAGTTCATCCAGGCGTATATGAATGACTTCTTTAAAACAGTCTAAAAAAGAAAAAAAAATTAAAATTGATTCCAAAATCAAGTTTCAGGATTCTAAATTATGAAAGATCTTTCTGAAGCACATTTCAAGTACAAGCTTTGGCTCCATAATTTTTGTCTACTGTATGTTCACTTCTATTCTCACCATTGCAATTATATACAACTTATATGTATAGAAAAAAAACTTTAAACACTTTAATTCATTAAAGATTTCAAGTTTCTCAGAATTTAGCACTACCTTTTTCAATTTTCTGTAACTATGCTCTCCAGATTTCTTGAGAAAACTTTATAAGGTGTTTCCTGTCTTAGTGTTTTTATTCTAATATACTTTTTAATACATATGGTAACAGAGTTAAAGTCCTACAGTGTCTGATATATTAACCAATAGTCAAGAACATGTAATTTACCATTCAAACCCAAGTACACTAGCCAGCGCAGACCAGGCGCCACTCATGACCACGACAGCACTCGCAGGCATGCTCCTGGGTCACCACCCAAGGAGAACAGAAAAGTAGAGTCACCCCATACCTTTTAAAACCCCTGAAATAACGCTCAAAAGTCTGAAAAGATAACCACCTCAAATACAATAGTCTGAGGTAAATTTCCTCTCTGTAACCTCATAGAGCACTAGTGTTTTATAATAGTTAACATTTATTAAGTGCTTCCTATGTGCTAGGCACTGTTAAAAGTACTTAAATGATATTATCTCACTTAGCTTCCACATTGGTAGATAATTTTAAAACCTCTATTGTACAGATGACAACACTGAAGCACACCTAAATTCACCAAGTTACTAAACTGTGGAACCAGAATGTAAATCAGGAAGTATAATTCTAGAAGCCATGGTCTTAATGTTAAACTGCTTCCCTACCAAAACAGCTTTAAAAAAACAACAAAAAAATTTTATAGTTATACAATTATTTTCAGAAACATTAAAAGATAATCACTAGACAGCAAAACTGTCTAAAGGGAATAAAACAAAAGACAAGAAATTCTACCATCACCCATGAAATATTCCATTCATCCACAGCATTATCAAGAGAGAAATACGTAGGCTAAGAGCAGGCAAGGCTGGGAACTGTATAGCAGGGCAAAGAGTATTGTAAGAGGCACAGAACAATAGTAGTGATGGAAGCAGAGACAGCAGAGTGCCTTCAGGAAAAAAATCTGACTAATTCAACCAACAAATTTTAATAGAAAAAAAATACAGGGGATTGAGTGCTAGCCTAAGTAGCCTTGGAAATGAACAGAGTCTATAAGAGAGCAAAGAAATGCATATAAATACTGTACTGTAGCTGATAAAGTGTTTCAATGAGGAGCTGGGTTAACAATTATGATACTGCTCTCCATGTGTACTAGAACTGAACAACTGAGAAAATGGATAGAGGCTGGTGGGAGCTGAGTATCTCACTGTTGGGGTGGAATTTATAATTAAGCAGGAGGAGAAGGCTATAATGAAATGGTGATGAATTAGATTTGGATACTTCAGTAAGAATTCATGTTTCGCTTAATACAGATATAGGTGGCTATATCCAGAAATATTTATAGATATGTGTTAGTTTACAGGTTAGGGTACACACATATATTTCTTTGCTCTGTCAGACGAGAGGGCCTAAAAGAAATGACACTCCAGTAACAACATACCTAGCACCCTGATCTTCATTTCTAATACCATTCTCCAATAAAAGGAATCAGGGCTCCCTAGAGAAATGACTGACTCTAGGACTGGGGCAGGAAATACATAACATGAGTTAGGAGCATCTTTGTAGTAGGAGAAAGCAAGAGCTTAAAAGAAACAAACCAACATGTTGAAGAGTTATGCCAAGAATGCACAAGAGCCAACTGAAAGAGCTCCCAATGGCCAAAGGCAGAACAATTTGATCAACAAACAAAGTAATACTAGATTATAACCCAAAGTATAAAGTGAATATCCATGAGTCCATACTGACACAAATAAGTGATTGACTAAATAAATGAAAACAAAAACCAAAAAACAAACAAATACACAAAAACCCACAACTCTTGTATAGAAAAATTCCAAATGACAGAGACAGATATTTTGTCCTCAAGGAGAAGCATGTGCACAGTGACTGCCTTTCAAAGAGTACAGTATGAAGGGGAGACAAAAACAGTGATTTACAATAGAGAAGCTTAACAACTGCTATAGGATGGGTGGCCATGGTCAACATTAACAGTGAGAAATCACGTTCATATAAGTAGTACTCTTGATATGATGGGATAAAAATGGCACCTTATAGTGTTCTCTTCCTCCCAATCCCATGACCCCAGTCTAATCAGGGGAAAAACATCAGACAAATTCTAATCTAAGCACATCCTACAACATACCTAGCCAATACTCCTTAAATTATCAAGGTCATGAAAATAATCAGGAAAGCCTGAGAAACTGTCATAACCAAGGAGGGCCTAAGGAGACATGACAATTAAATATAGCATAATAGGTCCTAGAGGAGATATTAGGGACTATTAGGGACAATTAGGGAAATCTGAATAAACTATGGACTTTCATTAATAATGTATCATTATTATAAATACCAGTTCATTAGCAAAAGTACCTTACTAATATAAGATGTTACTAAATAGGGGACACTGGGTATAAGAGTATGTGGGAAGTCTGCACTATCTTCTCAATTTTTCTGTAAATCTAAAATTATTCTAAAAATAAAGTCTATTTTAAAAATGAAACGCAAGTGGGCAAAAGATTTTAGGAGTTTTATACACTATTAAAATTTTTTTCATAAATATGTATTATTTTTATAATTAGAAATTCATTTATATATTTTTAAATTCCTAGGGAAATGTATGCAGCTAGCTGCATAATAATTAAATTATAAATTATCTTAATTAAATATATGATCAACATCTATTTTGTTTACTTTATAATTGCAGATGTTAGTTCAGCTGATTCACTTAATTGAGGCAATACAGCTTAGTGGTTGGTTGAAAGCAAAATCTCTAAAACCAGGCTTCCTGAATTTCAGTTCCAACTCCATGGCAGAGAGACCTCGGAGCAGCTAATTAGGCTCTCTGTGCCTCAGTTTCCTGATAGCTCTTCATAGGATTGGTTGGATTAAATAAGTTAAAATACATAAAGTACTAAGAACAGTGGACAGAACACAGTAAACCCTCTGTAAATACTTGGTGTTATTCTTATCAGTTTATGCAGCAGCAGAAATAGATTAATTACACAGGTTGATACTGAAATTAAACCTCATATCTTTGAGATAAAAGAAACTTCTGGAAAATAATGAAATTTGACTGGTTTTAAGATATAATAATTATATTTTCCACCTATTTTGGTACTGCAAAATCTATTCTTTGTTTGGTCTATAACTATTTAAATAAAGCTAGTTTATGGTAGTATTTCTGCCTATTTATCAAAAACAAGGTTTTGTGATTTCCTAGTATCATAAAGTTGTACTGTACTCTTTTTGAAACCTATGTTAGTTTTAAAAGAAAAAAGAAAGCCGGTCATTTCTATCACTCTGATGTTTTATATTAATATACTTATAGGATACTTTAGTCCTATTTAGATATTTAATAGATAGGGACAGATATTAATGTATTTAGAGACTACTTTTACCTTATCTCGAAGTCTCGTGCCAAAAGAGCTGGATTTTTGAGTGTCAATAACCATCAATATTCAAAATTAGTGTCAGGTATTAAGCAAGAACTACAAAATATTAATGGCTTAAATTCCTAAATAAGATAATAAATTCTGGTCTTCTCAGAGTCAAAAAAATTAAATAGATGTTGAAATGAATATATTTTAAAATTATTACATGGTTTTCAATTTTCTTAGTTTTAATTTCTAACACAGTAATCAGTAACAGATATAGACCACATAAACAGAAATGTTTTGAGATCCTCATAATTTTTAACATTGTAAGGGGTCCTGAGATTCCATGTGATGGTTTTTCTTTAAAACAAAACAAAACACCCTGAAAAACATTCCAGTAGCTATCAGCATAAATGTTTTACCAACCTGAAGTTCTTTTTTTCCTATAAGGAAGCCCTTATAAATACATATTGAAATTGTTCCAAAGTACTGAAAAACAGTAACTGAGTTACATTTAGTAAGAAATTTCAGAAGTACCTCAAATTACCCTATGAATAATTCCAATTTCCTGTGATTGAACACACTTCTGAAGCCCATAAATCAACAAAAATGAACACAACAGCTAAAGAAAATACCATTACAAAGATTCATAAACTTTCCTATACTTTTTAGTAGAAGCATCAACTACTAGCACATTACTATATCCTGAAAATACTTCACCTGGGTCTTATAAATTATAGCATGCCCTTAATTATGTTTTAAGTGCTAAAAAATATATTCTATTTTTACCAAATATTCTCCTTCCTTACAAAAGAATAAAGGTACCTCAAATTCTTTTTATGAGGCACAAGTCCTCTTAAGCTGAAAATGTTACATTTTTAAAGAGTTTTAAGGAGTTTAAGTAGCACCTTCACCAACACTAAATAAACATTCCCTTGTCCCCACCCCTACCCACCACCACAGTTGCAACAATGAGGAAAGCACACGAGGTGGTAACTATCTATGCTTCTTCCCCAGTACAAACGAAAGGTGAAGTAGCTACTTGGTAGCATAGAAAACAATAGATTTAGATCAAGAAACTTGAGTTCCAGTGCTTGATCCACCGGACTTCCTTGAAATTACCCTATTACAAAATTCTCAGCTTCTCTGATCTCAGAGTAATCATCAGTAAAACGGAATTAATAAGAACACCTGTTCTAGTTACCTTTAAAAACATGATGTGAATATAAAATAAATTAACAAAAACAAAACTGCTTTATAGTCTTAATGTAAACAGTTATTATTACTATTAAGTCCGTAAGCCATTCGAACTAAATACCTTTGAAGATGAATTTGTCTCATAAAATTACACTCAACAGCAAACATACTTATAGCAAGGTCCCACCATAATTTGGCTAATGAAAACAAGACATTAAAGTTAAGTTTC